CGGTAGGTGTGAAGAAACCGGGCAGCATCTGCATAGACCCGAGGAGTGCGATTGATCCGTTAATGTATTCCAGGCCATTCGTGCTGGCAAATGCCGTGCGGGCGGTGATGTCTAGGTCTCCCGCGTAGGCGATACGATCACGCCGTGAGCCATCAACGCTGACTGGGAGTGGGTTGGTGCCAAGAAGAAAATCCTTCAGGGCAGACTTGTCTGTCAGCGACGAAGAATACATCTCCATACCGTAAGCCATCAAAGAGGCATTCGCGAACACGGCCCTGTGGCCGAAAGAGGCTCCTAGTCCAAAGGAACCGTAAAAGGCAGCTGTTTGAGAGAAGTCAAGCACTGAATTTCCATCGAGCTTGATCGAAATTTGTGTCACATTCACAGTGGCTTCGACCGTATGCCATTGGTGGAGGGTGACCGATGGGGGCAGAACAGCTGACGCCAGCGGAGGACTTCCACTTTCCGTGGATCCTGCATGAGCAGAGATCGACGAGTTAGCTACATCTACAAAGAGATAGACCCCACTCCCTAGCGTGTCACTCAACACAGTGAAGCCAAATCCACGCACTACCGGCTTCACAGAGAAGGCGACCTTGTAAGCAGACATGGTAGCGGCAAAGTCTGCTGCAAATGGTTGAGGAGCAAGGCTATCCACGAGAGCTCCTTCATCAGTCATAATCCAGAAATCTGGAAGAGATCCCGCGGGAATCTCGTTCAGCTGCACGGTGCGGGCCCCCGTCTCCCAAATCCGATTCAGCACGGGGTCCGAGCAATTAAAGGATCCTGGAAGTTGCGACAAGGGTACCTCATGCACAGCTGGCTTGAAGCCCACAAAGGATAGTTCAAGCTCCCCATCACTCGACAGGTTCAACTTCTGGTACCGTAGGGCGCCTTGGATCAGACGGTTCGTGTAGGTCCTCTTTTCCGTGATGTTGTACCGATTGATGCGGTAAGTGTCCATGGCTGCAGCCAGTGGCAGGGGTCCATCGGCCTATGAAATCAGTAAATGTCAATACGTGGAACCTGGTCGCACTATTTAGCATCCAACTTACCCTGTACGTATTCAACAAGGCACCTGTCTCGCTGTAGCTCATCTCGAACACGGAAGTATTCCCCGATCTCCGGGATACATGAAATGTCCCATACCCTTCAATGTCCCGTCCATAGTCCAGAATGATGATGGATGGAGAAGTACCGTCCGAAGAGAGGGTATATGTAGTCCCATTATGTACCGCGTGAGAAGTCCCGTGGTGGTCCCTGTAGGTCAGGGGTGCAAGAAGGGTGGCACACCCAAAAGTAGCCTGTAGGGCTCCTCCAAAAAGAAGATGAGAACCGAGACGCATTCTGCTGTAGGGTCATGTAAACTGCATCGATATGTATTCAACAGTGTACCAAGAGGGACATTCACAGCGTTTATAGAAGCTTGTGTTTCGCCCCTGTTCCATACCTACTCCGGAAGGGGAGTCAAAAGTCGGCAGGGTTTCTCCACAACGGTTGAAGCCTAATACTAGTTGGGTGGATTCGTCGATACGAGTAAACGAGTAAACGAGACCACACCTCTGAAAGTTCGTACATAATGTAATGGAGGGAATCAACCTGTTGGAACAAGTCGAACACAAATACTCTGCTGGGCTGAATTCCTAACCAATTGCTGAATCCATCAGCAAAATTCACTATAATGAATATGATCAGCAAGATGTCGAAATACTAGGAAGCAGCTAGGCTGCTCTATCATATACTGAGAAAGTTAGCCATAGCTCAGCAAATGACGATAGTCCTTGTTGACCTTCCTCAGGCAGCCTTCCTTGCCCTTCCAGCCCGTGCATCCTCTTTCAACCTTACTTCCACATTAACATGCATCAATCAGGCTTACGGCAAGCTGGAAATTCTTTAGTGGATATTCATTCTTCTAAAAATAACTAGGCAAGAAGCCACTACCAATTTATAGCACAGAGGCAGAGGATCTTAGAAGAATGCAAGGTCCATACTAAAGTCTAGCTGATCACTTATTATGAGCTATGCATGCAAAGACTGCCACCATAAGTGATATGCTCCAGCAAGAAGCCCTATTTACTATATAATCTTTTTATCCTGATATACAGTAAGATCTATACACCTGGATCTTACAGGGGATTATATCTGGGCTGGTGGCTCCTCCTTTCTCCCGTCTTTAAATAAAGAAAAAAAAAGGTTTAATGAGGTACTTGAGGCCCACATAAGGCAGAACCTTTTTATACCTTTCTTAAGACAGCAATAGACTAGCTACCCATCATCAACATCATCATCATCATTATCATTATCATCACTTTGTAGTGATCGGCCAGCCAGCTCAGTGTTCTGGCGAGTTTAGTGTCTGATTACGTTACAGAATCTTGCTGAGCCTCTGAGGCATTTTCTATCCTGTTTCTGTCAACATGCTCCGTAAAGTATGGCCAGGCACGTGACCCACGTACGGACATCCCCCGCTCTGGTATTTATATACTTACCTGTATTCCGACCGTGGCCTGCTTCGTTGTTGCCCTGCCCCTAAACCATATTTCCTTTGACTCAATGAAAATTATGCTCCGTCTCCTCCTGTGAAGTCCCAAAGTTTTATGTAAGCTATTCTTCACACTATCCGCCACCAATCGAGACTCCAGTTGAAATACCTGTTGGCTTTAGGTAGGCTACACCTATTTTAAGTCGAGCGAAGACACAATCAGTTAACACACCACTACCCCACATAATACAGCACTGGTTCCTTTATCATATAGCAACATGAAGGCGGAAGACAGGGACAGCTCCGACCCCCACCTTCCCAAGGTCAACAAGACTAGGCGATTTACGGAGGTGCTTGTGATCATGTCTGTGACGACCTTTATCGCCAGCACTTTTGAAGACATCTTCTTTACACAGGTTGATAGTCGATCTGTTCTCCATCATGTGATATTCATATCATTTTATATGTTGTTTTTTTCCTTCTATGAAAAGTACAAACCTGTGTAGATAATATACATCTTTTTTTCCGAAAACCGTGAAGCATCAGAGTCCCTCAAGGGGTTCTCTATACTTATTGAATAACGGTGTCCTCCTGTCCGCTTGTGGAAAGATGATAGAAACCAGTAATCAGTCTTTGTACCCAGCATATGCTATCAAAATCATACCTAGATATGCATCCAGAACCGCGTGCGCTGTATTGTCAGATCTGTCAGCATGCAGTATTAGTGTGCGACTACGGACTGCCTACAACAATGCAAGTGTGGGCAAGTATTGCTTTGTACCTGAATTCACCAAGGACTAGAGTACAATGTCCAAAACTGGGCGAAACTGGCTAGAGAGGGAGTCTGCATTGACTGCTAGAAAGTTCAACAGAATTGTCATGGTATGCAGGGTGCCATCTCTAAAGTGCCACCTTGTTAACAAAGTTTGGTAGGATACAAATGAGTGTATGTATATCAAAGTACTAGGTACCTAGGTACAGCTTTTGCAGAAGTGACACTGTGCTGTAGCCTAGGTAGGCTACATAAGTAGTATGTAAATAGGGCATACTGCTATGCATGTAACAAACCTCTAGCCCACAGTTAACTCGCCTTAGGCTCACCCATATGGATTTCAAGGCGGATTACTGATGCCATGGGTTGACCCAGAACCCATTGGGTTCGATTAGACCCCATGCGGATCCACCCAAACCCAACCCACAACCAGTCTACAATGGATCCACTAGGAACTAGCTTCCCCCAAAGCCCTAACCTTGATAGGGTAAGCCACTTCTATACCAATGTGAACATCCTATTTGTGTTAAAGTCAGACACAACCACATTAGGGCGGCGCTAGAGTCCTTCCAAAGTCAACTCATCCGTACCACAGAACACATGCTCCAGTCATCCTTACGACTGTCAGCAGCGCATCCTTAGGTTTAGGGCCTTAAAGATGGTCCTCAGCCTAAACATGAGTTCCCAGTTGCAAGTGTTTATTTTGGGCTCGTCGATCGTGCCTGAGCTCTACAGCGCCCACTTTCGCAAATGCCGCCCACCGTGTACTATGCCAAAGCGTAGTTATCCATGCCTTGAACAAAAGTACATCCAAAATGAAGGTTAACTAGGGATTTCTATATGTCAAGATCAATAGTTAAAGACTTAATGAAAAAGATTCAGGAATAATCCAACTGAAAGTCTGCTAGAGACACAGGTTAACTGCCCAGTCATGCCCACACGCCCCCTTAAGGAAAAGATCAAACAGTGTCTCTTGAGAATCCGGTCTTCTAGCTGCGCTTCGTCATCACTTCCATCTCTTCTTCTCCGGTCAAACTCATATGCCGATGTAATTTTCATACCAACTGGGGCCGCCGGAGATGTTTGCACCACAGCTCTGTAAGGTGTTAGAAATATCACTAAGAACTAAATATAAGTGACTGCAGCACTAGTTCTTAGTGTGGATAATGTTGATTGGTGATGGTGATAAGCTGCTTGTTGATCGTCTTACTACAGAACATATGCCGCCAGAATCGAATTACACAGAATATAACCCACCCATCTGATGCATTCCAAGTTTCATTATCAATAGATCTAGGGGCTTGATGACTGTTTGCGGAGTGCAGATCGTAGATTCTGGCCAGGATTGGCGATGTCTAAGTTCAGATCGGGCAAATGTGGAAACGCTCAACCTAGATTTGGACATCCTTGGTACGGTCGTGACTACCTATGAGTGAGCTAATTGTGACTCCTACCAAGACAGTCCATGGACAACTCATGATGACGTTCGATACTACATTGGTCGATATGTAGATGTGTTCCGCAATGACTCAAGTACCGGAGGGCCTATAAAATGGTCCTCGGGTTCCTTTGAAGGCCTCCCTTTTTCGCTTCTCAGTAGAGACAGACACATATAGTGCTGTTGTAACCCCTTCATTTTGAATATGCCCCATTTTTCTTACATTTAACTTGGTACTACAAGTCCTCTTCCCCTGAATTAACACTCCCAGTACTGCATGTTAGTGGCCTTTTGGCTCTCTAAAAGTCATGGATTTGGATCAGCTCTCTGTAGGCTCTATCCTTCCCTATGCAGCGGACGACGTTGCTCCCATTACACAACTGGGCTGGGCTTTTTGCGACGGCACAACACTCAGAAGGGAAGATTTTCCGGATCTTTTTGCCGTGATCGGATACAGCAATGGTGGTACCAAGGACACCTTTCTTCTGCCTGATCTCAGGGGTCGTTTCCTACGGGGTATTTTCTCCATCAGGAGTGTCTACAACGTCCGAAAGCTAATGTCATCTATAGGAGCTAGTGACACGCGCTCACCTGGAACGATAGCAAACAAATCAACGACTGCCAATCCCAATTTTCAAGTCACCATTCACCGAATGCCCGTGTCGTATAGTAACACTTACTATACTGGTGGCGCTGGTGGCTACTATATGAGTGATTGGAGCGATGACAGTCCATATTTCGAAGTTGACAGCGGCGGCGACAAGGAGACGAGGCCTGTGAATGTCTACATGCAATACATCATAAAGACTAAGCCCAAGCCTACTTTACCAGTCGCCATCCTTTGCCCGTATGCTGGTAGCGATGCTACTCATCTAGACAGGAATGTTTGGTCCGTATGCAATGGCAACCAGTACGACGTTGCAGAATTTCCCATTCTTGCCAGCATTTTAGGTACTCGCTTCACGCCCGGTTCGAGTAGCCTCGGTTCCGATATGAAGTCCCACATCCAGTTGGACCACATCCATCACGCTGGCCGATATATTGATGCTACAATCGCTACAATCACGCATGGTCATACAGTGCCTACAGCCCAATTCAATGTGCCAAAGCTATCTGGAATCTTTATTAGGGGAAAGGACGAGGGGTCACAAAATGATCCTGATGCCAATTCTAGAGCCTTACCTCCTGATGGGACGACCGGACCGGTCGTTGGCTCGCTGCAAGCATACGCTACAAGAAATGCTTCTTCCAAAGGCTTTGGGGTGAAAATACCCCATTATCCAGTCAATGCCACAATCATCGATAATGTTCGCGGATATGACAACATTCGTGACCATGACTACGTCGACGAGTCGATATGGTCAGGAGGAGCTGCTGAATCGCGTCCCGTAAACAAGTACGTGAGATATTACATTCTGACCAGCCCACCTACTGTGTCCGATGGCTTCCCACTGGGCGGCATTGTTGCAATTCCAGGCACTGTTCCTCCAAACCCGTTGTTCTGGGCAGCCTGTGATGGTCAGCGGCTGCTCATAGCTCAGTATAAGGCTCTATATCAGCTCCTCGGAAACACCTGGGGACCAGCAGATGGCCAATCATTCACCCTGCCTGACCTGCGAGACACCTTCTTGCGGGCAACCGACCTGACACCTGCAGGAGTGCAGGACCAGTGGGGTGACCCCGACCGGGACAAGCGAACAACTTCTGATGGGAAAACTTCCCAAACAGGGACAGGATCCCAACAGGATTTCGCTACAGGCCTCCCTCAGAACCCGTTTCATCTGCCACTCCATATACCCTGTGATGATCGCGACAATGCTGCTGGTGGAGGGAGTACCCATACCGCACATTTCAATTTTGATGGAGTGACGACTACAACTCTTGGTGGCGATGCCGAAACCGCACCTGTTAGTCTTGCTGCACGCTTTTATATCAAAATTGCTTCGGCAGCGTAGTTGTATTGGGAGAATTAGGTAGTCTGGAAAGGATGGACAGATACTGCTTATATTAAGGTTCCCGGAATACGTTGATACGCAGCTGAGCGTAGTATGAGGTGGCTGGAGAGGAAATGTGTTCCTGCGTCTTTCATAGAACTATATTTCACTGGAATAGGCTCTCGTTGATAGCGAAAATCCAGCCGAACTGCGTTTTAAACCTGTCTTCCAGGTTGGTCACGCTTTAAAAGCGCCTCGCCAAAATTCAGATCAACGCACCTCAATATCCTACTCCCACCACAACTTCTCATAACGTCCCCATCACCAATCCTGAACTCCATTAGGGGACTTAACCAGTGGATAATGATCACCGTGCGTTTAAGCCAGCAATGACTAATGTATGTCTGCCAAGCATCATGGATGAGGCTCTACAAGACGGCTCTTACAGTTATTGTTGGCCATCGTGCTATGCCGCCCTGCACCCCCCATTCTGACCACTGTATTAGGCGAGGGCAGTGCCCCCAGTGGTCTAGTAGGGATGATCTAGGTATTATCTAGTTAATCTTATTGTGCTGTATTTGATTATACCATTTATAGAGTCCTAATCTACTAGTATAACTATGAAACCTATATGCACCTATTAGGATCAGCGCTATAACTTCAGAGTTCCTCCTACTCTACAGGCTAGGACTCTAGGCCACAGTGGCCACTGTAGGGCTCTGTCTTATAGAAGTAGAATTAATAACACTTCTAGGCCCAACCTTAACTAAATTCTAATACAATTTTAATAAATCGAAGCTTAGCAATGAGAACCATCATCGTGCACATCATAAGTGACTATCATGAAGAGAAGTGTTACGAAACAGCTAACAGGGCCCCGAACGAATGGCTATTGGCGAAAGTTTTTTCGTGACTACCGATGAGCATGAAGCATTATTCAGTGTGCAACATTCCAGAGCATGAGGATTATTAGGTGGTTGTGGTTGTCTAAAAGCAGGCAAGGTGGGGTGGTCGGGAATGGGGCAACATTTGGCTTCTAGAACTACGGGGATTCTCAGGTGGGGATTCGGGCGGATAATTTGATCAAGCCGTCCCGACCATGTTGCAGAAATCCTCCCGTTTCCCGACATCTGTAGTGGTGGACCCTGTAACTCTAACGATGGTTCAGGATTATATATGGTTCCGCTGAATACATCAGATTTCTAAGTCATTCTGGAGCAAGAAACCTAGTCCGACCGAACAACAGTGCTGCTTGGATATAGGAACACTATTTTTAATTCCAGCGGAGATATTATATATTTTCTCAATTCCGGCTTCTCAAGTCGAGAATTCTCTGTCTTCAAAGGCACCCTACCAACATGTTGTCGATTAACATTCCTGCATACTCAAAACCGTCCGGCTACCAACTTTCCGATCTCCCCAAGCCGGAGATTCAGGACCCAAAAGATGTTCTTATCAAAGTTCACGCTGCTAGTATAAATCCAATCGACGTGAAAAAGGCCGATGGTATATTCAAGTTTCTGCAGAAAGACGCGTATGTGCTTTCCGTCCAGATGGCTGAAAGATGGCTCACTCTGAACGGGTCAGGTTCCCATACAAGATCGGCTATGATTGCGCCGGTACAGTTGCCGAGATCGGATCAGGCGTGACGCGGTTTAAAGTCGGAGATGCGGTCTACGTCAGATTGCCGGAGGCATGTCGAGGTATTGTGATGATCGACAAGAGCTTGTCATCGTACTCGAGCTGACAAAATCAAATCTAGGGGCGTGGAGCGAATACGCCAAATGTCCAGAGGAATACATCGCTCTCAAACCACAGTCGTTGTCATTTGAGAGCGCAGCCTCAATTCCATTAGCAGGATTGACAGCTCTACAGGCGCTGAGGAAATATGATGGCGATCTTTCCGGAAAGACTGTATTTGTACCCGCTGGATGTATGATATACCCGCTCATCTTATTTAGGTTGTCTGCTAACTGAATGGCAGTGAGTGGGACCGGTCTATACGCATGTCAATTTGCGAAGCATGTTTTTAACGCTGGGAAGGTGATCACCACCGTCTCGACATCGAAAGTTGCCAAAGTGGACGAACTCTTAGGAGAGGGAACCGTTGATCAGAGTAAGAAGTCGGTCCCAGGACTTACCATGCAATAAGTGCTGACTCGATGCAAGTAATCGACTACAAGAAGGTCAATCCAAAGACTGTGATTGAGCACGGTACTGTTGATTTCTTGTTCGACACAGCCGGCGTCGCCATGGAATACCTTTGTTTGATGCGACCAAAGACTAGCTGGGTTGTGTCTATTGCAACTACACCTTCAGGGAGCCAGCTACAGGATTTCCTTGAGCGCGGCACCTCTGTCCCAATATATGTCAGACTCGGACTGAATCTCCTGGATTCCATCCGGAAAATGCGCGCTCGACGCTACGGTGTTAACTATACATACATGTTCCTGCATGAGAATGGCAAGGACTTGGACGCGATGCGGGAATATGTTGAGGATGGTAAATTAAAGACAGTCGTGGGCACTACAGTGGATATGTCCGATATTCAGGATGTGCGAGCCGCCTGTCAGGTTGTATACAGCAACCAAGGGGGACTTGGAAAGGCTGTGATTAAAGTTGCTCAGTCTGAGAATTGAGCATGAGTACTTGCGATGTTTGTACGCATCAACACACCCTGAGGTGACGATGGTACTTCTTTGAAACTGTGCTGCGGAATGTTTCGCTTTGCTGTTGGTTGTCATTTAATATTTTGGTGACTTCAGTCAACTTCTATACTACTCTAATTTCATAATATATTAATAGGTAGTAGCGTCTCAAGCACCATTAACAAATGCTGGTAATAGAACATTCACCCTAGCTCTAGTGAGAAGTATCAGGCGCTACAAACGACTGATCCTGATTGATCTATTGTTGTACTATACTCGACATTGCATATATTCGCGCGATTTGCCCTCGATGGTTTTGAAGATAATCCATCGGTGATTGAGCCTAGCAGTTGACATTGCCACCACCGCATGGTTTAGGTACGGAACTAGATGCTCCAAAAGCTGCTGATCAGCATTCTAAGATCCTAAGGGACGTATAGGGATCTTAGCATCCACAAACCCGTTCTCTCGGATATCGGAACGGCTACAAATTGTAGACTGCCTCCATAGTCGCTTGTTGTGCTAGGTTAAACGTTCAACTTCTCTCCAGTAATGAGAGGCCATATGGAGCGGCCTGGGCGGCTTAGGTATATACCGAGGATCCACTGAGTAGGCCTAGGTTCGGGACAACAGTCTATCCGCGTTTGCCACGTGGGGTTGATCAGGGTCCTACACGGCGGAAAAGCTTATAGTTTTATCCTTTTCATACAACTATTATTTCGAAATCTTGACTAGCTGGATCAAGACAAGGCTGCGAGTGTGCATGAAGATCTTTTGGCCTCATGCGGAAGAGGGAAAAAGGGGACGACTATGCAGGTATTTCTATTGCGTCAAGTCACGTGATCCTGTGTATAGGTATCTTCGCCATTCCCCCTTGCTCCCTTGCTAGCTAGTCACCAATATCATCGTTCTCTCTCATTTGGCTCCACAGTAAGCCTGAAAGATATATGAGGATTGTGGAGAGCCAAAGTCTCTTGGTGTACGGAGTATAGAGATCTAAATCTCCGCAGTTTTCTTTTTATTCTTTGAATCCATTCTAGTACAGTGAAGAAACAGAGGACAACAAGAATAACACGACCCGCTGTGATAATGGCAGCGTTTGTTACGGAATTTTTAAATCCTTGCAATTATATGGGAGGAGTGAGTTTTGATCCTGAACGAGATATACCAGACTTGTCAGGCAAAGTTGTTTTGGTGACTGGCGGTAAGTCAGGCTTCCTGATTCCCACCAGAATCGTCGGGGAAGGGTCCTAACATTTCTAGGGAATGCTGGGCTGGGGAAGGAATCTATACTCCAGTTAGCGAAGCATAATCCAGAGAAGATATTTCTTGCGGCGCGCTCGAAAGCAAAGGCAGAAAGTGCTATTAGTTCCCTCAAAGAACAGGTCTCGAATAATGTGAATATTACGTGGCTTCCTCTGGATCTGTCATCCATTCAATCCATCACAGATGCAGTGCAGCAATTCTGCGCAGAGTCATCACGGCTCGATATCCTAATGCTCAATGCAGGTGTGATGGCTCTTCCACCAGGGCAAACAGAAATGGGCCATGAGATTCAACTTGGTACAAACCATACTGGCCACTTCCTTTTGACAAAGCTCCTGCTCCCGACCTTGTTGAAGACTGCTCAGGAGCCGGATTCAGATGTGCGAGTTGTTTCATTATCTTCAATTGGACACAATCTCGCACCACCTTTTGAATCCGTCCTGGATCAAGACAAGTTAAAAAAGGTCCATACAAACCTTCGATATGGCGCCTCCAAGGCAGCCAACATTCTGTTTGCTGCTGAGCTCGCAAGACGTTTTCCTTCAATCACTGCTGTATCCGTTCACCCGGGTATCATACTCACGGACCTTTACAGCCCTGCGAGCGAGCACTCTACCATTGCTGCCTTGAGTTCGAAGTTCCTAGGGCTTTTAGGAACGCCAGTCCATGCAGGAGCTTATAACCAGCTATGGGCCGCCACAGGTGCCAAGAAACAGGAGCTCGTCAATGGAGCATATTATGTCCCAGTGGGAAAGCTCAAGGCTCACAATAAATACGCCAAAAACGAAGAGCAAGGGCGCCGTCTCTGGGACTGGACTGAGGCTGAGTTGCGCAAATTTGGAGCTTTTACTTGAATTATTCCTGTATCCCACTGTCCACTTTGGCTTCCTTTTTACACGGCTCTTACCTCACCCATATTTCATGTCCTTTTGATTAAACATATTATATGATAATAACTGAAACCAGTTTCAAGAGGTTGTCTAAAAAGCGAGAAGACAAGCTCGCCCTTGGATTTCTTACTGAGTTCATTGTAAGATATGTTTCAACTTAATCCGCGGAAAATACAGTTGAAGAATATAGGCGAAGGACGTGAAAAGAGGAAAGGAGTTACAGAAGCCAAAATCTTGAAACAGACGAAAAGAGCAAGCTAGTTGTGTCAGTCGAGCCAGACACACCTTATGTGGAGGCGAACATGCTTGTGCTGCGAGTATGAGTAGCACGGACCGCGGAACAGTCAAAATGTATATGTATACAACGAATAGAGAGTGATCTTTGTTTGTCTTGGAAGTTTCGATGATTCGGCCAGACGGTGTCCATAACATCCCCAAATTAGATTTGCTTTGCCCGTAAGCCTACAGGTCAAGTGGCGGCGGTCGATAATCATACATAGTAAGCAGCCCTAGCACATCGAATCACCATCCTTGACCTGCACTAATACACTACCTAATTAGTGCCTGTTATCTAACACGTGTGTAGTGGCCCAGTAGTTCAATGGCGGCTATGGGACAAGAAACAATGCTGTTACCGAGCAATACATCAGGTTATTGCACATAAACATTATGCTGCCCCAGGACAGCTTATCCAGTGAGCAAGTACATCTTTCCACGTCATCATAGAGCCCCGTAACTCATTCAGTTATGGGCATGTCCAGTATTGATCCTAAGCCCAAGCCTTCGTCGTTATCGCAGCGATGGGAGAATGTGGTGCGCGTTATGTATGTAGGCAAACCCTCCATGGCAGGGGTGTGTCGACTGACCCAAACAGTGTCTGGCTGTCGCTGAGTATATGTGTCGTCCTGTCTAATAAATGGCTGGTCAACGAATTAAACTTTGGTACGCCTACCCAGCTACCATACATTTACACCCGCCCATAGGATCTTTCAGGAGGTGTGGATGCTTTTTTCTGACTTGTTCTCTGGCTACCAGCATATCGTGAGATAATTATCTGTATGGAAGAACGCATGTGTCTAACGTCAGTCACGTAGCAACCTTTCTGGCCACCTGCCATATGCTGTTTGGCACTCTGGTATCCTCAGTTTTGAGAGCTTGGACTGGCTTATTCGCCAGGAAAACGTTAGATATGAGCACCCGTGAGTATTTATATCTTGTCGTGCCCGTGGCCCTATTTCTCAATCTGAGTATCATCTGCGGCAACGAGGCCATGGCCTATATCAGCATCACGATGATCCAGACGCTCAAAGGAACGTCACCGGTCACGGTGTACCTTGCCACGTTACTCTTTGGGATGTCCAGATTTGAAACTCAACGGGCGGCAGTGCTTTTGATTATATCCCTCGGTATCTGTGTTGCATCGTACAGATCCATTCAGACCAGCTGGTATGGAGTGGCTGTCCAGTTGATGGGTATTGGTTCGGACTCGCTCCGGCTAGTTTTGATGCAAAGAATTCTGGATGCCTATGCCGGATCATTTGATCCATTGACCCTCTTTTATCACCTTGCACCTGTTTGCGCCCTGTTGGGCGCAATGTTCACACTATTTACAGCTGTTCCATCTATTGTCGAGCTCGCCAGTGTATGGAAAATACTTCTATTGAACTGTGCATTGACATCAGCACTCAACCTCTCCGGTCTCGTTGTTGTGAGCAACCTAACCTATCACTGAATCATGTCCAAGGCTCATATGTGGCGCAGATCAAGAACACTTCTTCTCTCTCATTAAGTGTGTGTGGTATTCTCAAGGATGTGTTTCTGATTGCTGCATCGTGGATAATTTGGAGAACAAATTTCGAGCTTCGTGAGATAGTGGGCTATCTGACAGCGGTTGGTGGGTTGTTTCTGTGCGGGCGGTTAAGTATACGTTCCCACGATTAGCTAGACTCTCCTACGACTACCGGTGATTCATCGTCTAGAAGCCAAGGCACTGAGCTTCTGGAACATTGGGCAACAGATCCTGTACATAAAATTTGTCATTGCCCTTCTCTTTCATTGTTCACTTCAAACTCTAGGAACACGCCCCCTTTCTGGGCCGAGAACACTTGAAATCCCCTTTCGGACACCTAAGTACCTTAGGAAATCAACCAGGTGCTATACGGCCCGTTCGTTATTGCCCATACATTCTTCTTGGACAATTCATTCCTTCTAGTGAAGCGTGAAGGAATAGACTTCAGATTGGTAACCCATGTACATTACCGAGTTCTGGCATATTCATCTTGGCAGGCAACAGGGTGTTTACTTCTACTACTGCACCTTGCACTATATCGAATATTGGCTGTAAAGTCCACCTTGCTCCTCGCGGCGAGGTCGTCCCACCCCTCCACAACTGCAATCTCACTTGAGATCTCCCCTGCTTGCTTGTGGTGATGGAAGACTTCCGGGTTTATTGTCAAACATCTCAAGGTTCCGTTCTTACACCAGACACGAAAATGGTCAGTGATGATCTTATCCATTCCATGATGCGACAACTCGTAAAGCTTGGTTGCCGCCGCTGTTGTGAGGGCGTAGGCGTATGTACAGATGGGAGCAACAGATTTATGAACCATGCGGAGATGCGGAGGAAAGTTCGTCAACCGACCATCATTTTCCCGGTAGACGGATGACGCTGGGAGTGTCTCGTCCACAAATGATGCTGGATCGTCAGGAATATAGTCACCACAGTGGCCGAGCCACAGAAGATCCCAGGCCTCACCATAGGGCGACCGTTCGCCCCGGTCCGTCGCACTGGTGACCTGGCGAATCACGGGTGAGAGACGCAGCAACTGATTCTTCACGGCGATATCCCAGTCCGCATCATCTTCCATGATCAGTACTGTAGCCCATTGCTGGGATATGATCTCTTGCCAGACATTGAGATGGCCTAACCAGCAACGGGCCTGGCCGGGGCCCATTTGTATATTTCTTCCCGGCACGCCCACGCCTCGAAACGTATCCACGTCACTATCAGTCCAGTCTGGCTGGGACAGGATGTCAAGCTGAAGATGTGTGTAGTCTGCTGCTTCCAGAAGCCCGCCTAATCGCCAGGCAGTCCCGGTAGACACAACTGCGATCTTTTCGAACTAGGATGCCATGTGAGCATAGGATCCTCTTACCGTCCAAAAGATAGACAGGGAAAGGGAACGAAAAATAGCATGGCACGTACCCCAAGGGTATCATTGAGAGGTGCAAGCACAGCTCCAGAGAAACCAATACGACCCAGAAAGGATTTGAATTCAGCTTGGAATACGTTGCATACAATAAGAACGAAGGCTGCAATCCCGACGATGTTTCTCAATGTATGAATGGATAAAGCCTGGCAGCGTCTCATATTGCATGCACCACTTCAGACATAACCTGTTTTCAAATGATGGTGAGGATTTAGCACTATAACGCGGTTTTTCCTTTATCTGTCAGGGGCCCAGTATTCATCCCGTTTGGGAGGGTGGACTCGCCAATTCCGCTGTTAACCTGCCGAATAAGCCTGCAGGTAAGCATCTAAGCATGCATGATCGAAAAGGACTCGTTGATGCCACATGTCGTCCTTAAACTTCCGTTGTGGTTGCGGCGATCAATATCATAATACTGTCAGCCATGCGAAGCAATGACCATCAATGCAGGCTCACCCTCAGATACTAGGTTTCTCAGCGTATGCTTGATTACGTCCCGGGAACACAGGCCTGATAACCGACTTTTCAGTTCTGTGTAAGCGGATGACTCTTGAGGCCAGTCTCAATGTTATAAATTGATTCCGTACACCTGGTGATTCCGTTGACACTTGCAACAACATCAACATCAAAAACGAATTATCAGATAACCATCGCCTCGTTTTACTGTTTTAAACTTTTGAATCTAACTTCAAAATGAAGGTCTCCTTTATCCTGCAATCCATCGGAACTTTCCTCCTGGCCGAGTCGATCTTGGCCGTTCCCCTCACGCCCCGCGCGGAAGCCATGACAACTCGCGACTCGAACAAATTCCTTGTCGGCCGTGCGGATGCGGACACTTTCTCCATTGAGATCCAGGCCGGAGACGACGGCAAAAATCAGGAGGGGCCTGTCATCATCGCTCGCGACCCTGATAGCTGCATTATTGCTCGGGACTCCAATGGAGACGTTGTCGCCCGTAGTCCCCGCTGCAGCTAGGTTTTACGAGATGCGACACTGAGGCGATACATCATAAGTCTGAATGACAATTCAAAGGATTCGCCCATATTTGTTCGTTTGACAGGAGGGGAGTGGGAGAGGGTCTCGCCAGGCGACGTAACGCAGCGATCAGCAGTGAGGATTTGGGCTCATGTACGGAGTAAATACGCTCACATCCAGACAAGTTCATAGTGTTGGAATTGAGAAGTTGCTCTTAGAAAAGCTGCCCAATGGTGTAAGCTGTAGCATAAGTCCAAAGTTGTCGGCCAATTTGCCATGGTATCTTAGGCCTTTCAGAATGACCTGTTGGCTGTCCAGAAGAATATGATCTAAGGTACTTAAGAAGTCCAATCGGAGGTTATTGTAAGCGCTGCTCTCACTCCTCCTGTTCCCCAAGGCTGAGAAGAGTATCGTCGAGTCTAAGTGCAAAGCGACTGGATCTGCTGTTGTGATCAACCATATGGGTGCTGGGGCGGACTAAACTTACGACGTGGTAAGGACAAATCGACAAGCAATTTGAGAAATTATTTAGACAGTCATGTATATAGAAGTGGGCAGACGGCTGTCACCTCTCGAAGACACTTTGCTGGACGCTATTAATGTATTCTAAGGCCTCTGATCTCCGTTCGTCTTTTTCAACCCACGAACCATTTTCATTGAAAACCATCGTCAGCCGTGTTGCCTCTGAGTACTTGGGCCACACCGGGTCATGCTGGTTCAAACCTATGTTTGGATCCATCGCTGTAATGAATCCTGCCCACATAATCCCGATCAAGTGTGACATTTGGCGGAGGCCCTCGCCTTTGCCAGTGAACGGATTCACGTCCCAGCCTATGCCGTCGAAGTTCTGGAAGACCGGTCCAATCTCGGCACCATGACGCACCCCAAGCCTTTCATCATACACAGAGGACACCATAGCATCGAAGCGGAAGGCATAGCATGTTGCAAATGCTGCATAGCTTTCACACATGAGCCTTGCTCCAGCATTGTTGGCCAGGTCACCCATCAGCTGTTCAATGCGTTCAAACTCCGCATGACTAGAAATGGATATTCCTTCAATCGGTGGGTCTAACTTGTCATCACCCCTTGGCACTATTGGTGGGTAAAGCCCCATCAGGTGATCGACCACAGTTGTTGGGAATAGGACGTGATCTAGCGCTGCAGTTAGTCACAAGGCAAGGTTGCAGGACCCAGCCACGCATAATACCTATCAAAAAATCTCGCAGATCAGTCCAGTCGCGTACAGACTCGGGGATCTGGTTGCTGCCTTCATGAGAAACCACGCCGCTAATTACTGGTACCTTGACCATCCGAGAATCCTTTAGACTCAGACTCCCATAATTCGCAAGAAAGTTTCCGTCGATGGAAGGACCGCCAAAGGCCTCGGCCATGCGACCTATTCCATACGGAGATTTTTCGAAGGCAATGTTTATTTCGTCGTAAGGGATGTATCTCAGGCAGTCCAGTGAGTCCTCGGCTTCGGCGCACCTTGTTGAAGCAACCAAGGAGTCATACAGTTCTTGTGCAGGAAAACGCCGGGATGATGTCTTTTGCACTACAGATCCACTTTGCATGATTGCAGCTCGGAACAGGCCATCGTCTCGTCCACCATAAGCAGCGAGGTGGTAACCGACATCCCTGGCGCCAGAACTGCCTCCCCAGAGGGTCACTTTCCGTGGGTCTCCTCCAAAGAACGCGATGTTCTCCTGTACCCATCTCAAGGCCATCCGTTGGTCATGAAATCCAATGTTTGTATTCCCGGTGCCCCTAACTTGACGACTGATGATCCAGCCCCCGACAGATGCCCGGTAAGTAAACGAGACTCCAATAAATGGTAGCCCGGCTTTCGCTGCTGTCGAAACTATGAATGACAGATTGTACCGTTGATTGTCAGAGCCTCCCACCTTAAGTCCAGTACCGTATATATAGACAGCAACCGGTAGAGGGTGCTGATCAGCATTAGTAGGCCGAACAACGTTCATAGTAAGACAGTCTTCTGACTGCGTGTATTTCCCCAAAGCGTTCTATGGACGGTCAGTAATGACGATAACCGATCATCTGTGGATTGGCTTTGCCATACTCCATAGCCAGGACATTGGGGCCCGTAAGTCGTCGCATTACGCACGCCGTCCCAAGATTCTGTCAAAGGCTGTGGATGTCGGAATCGGAGAGGTCCCAAGGGCGGAGCTGCGTATGGCATGCCCAGGAATATGTCTTGATCCAGCGCATCCAAGTGAATGCCCTCATATGAGCCGTTCAATGTATGTACCAGGGGCTTGCGGCCCGAATTAGCCTCGTGGGCAAAGACATGGCGTGGACGAACGAAGTTGAGTATCCAAGCCGTAAGCGATAAGAAGGTTATGACGAGAACAACTTTGGACATAAACGCAAATTTTTCGAGAGTTGAGGAGATGTGGGGGCTTTCTTTTGCCCCAAATTCTGTCCCGTCGGTTCCTCTGCGTGAAAGGGGAAGATACTCCACGCGAGAGTTTTCCTGGGGGCTCATGATCTGCCGAAAGATTGGTAGTTCACAACAGTGGTGCTGGGCCGTGGTATGTATCGAAAGTTCAAAGCTTGCTCAAGGGCGTTGAGATCGATGAATGAAGCTGGAGAGGAAATCTTCTATTGAGTCTGAGAGTCTAGAGGGCCAAGCCAGAGATGCAACGCGTAGATTCATGGCCCTCCCCAGCTACAAAACTCATTCATCAAGCCAAAGCGCACCTAATACCCCCATGTCCTCCAATATTCACTATCAGCCATCCGACTTACGAATCGAGCTAAATTTGCCTAGGAGCGTAAGATACGCGACAACGAAGATGAAACGTGACGAGTGCCATCCCTCGAAATAAGCATACCTTTCTAGAGCTGGTCATCGGTCTGTTTTTGGCCGATGACAAGTGCTTGCTTGGCAAAATATATGCTGGCCAACCGACAAACCGTAAGCATGCATCAAATTTGGAGCAAGCTTATTTTCCTCTATACTGATTCGGGCGTACTAAAAACCCCACCGTAACCCTTGTGCCACCGGCTGATCCGCAAGCAGCCCAGGTTTTCTCTCTCCCTCCCTCTCTTTAAATAAAATAAAATATAAAATATATAAGATAAAAAAAGAAATAGAGAAAAAAGGAAAGAAGAAGAAGAAAGAAGTCCTGGCTTCAGGGAAGTCCTGCCTCAGAAGATATGGAAATCGACGATGGTTTAAGCAAGCAGAGTAAGTCTGCCACAGCGCAAAGATCTACTATAGCAATCGAAGACACCAGAAAATCTAAAAAAGCCATAATTTGACCCATCTTGAGGTTCTCAGTACTCGTTCCCACCATGTAGAGGTTCCTCCCCTGCAAAAGACCCCGTCGGGAGATCCCACGAGCACTGTCCCTATTTGAGATTGAGGCTGAGCAGCTTTCAAATTATCAGCGCACACTGGAAGCTGGGTTCCAGAGTGCCTTAAGAATGCCGCAGCGGCCTCCGGTGTGATCTCGCGTGTCGGCTCTCCGTGTAGTTCGTAGCCCCCGAAGAACTTCTTGACAGAGGGTACAAGCAAAGGCGGACTAAAGTGCATATGAAGATAGCTGCTATTTATCTCAGCTTCAGTGCCATTCAGAGGTGCCTGGTGAAGGGCCGAAACTAAGTGTGTTAGCCGTGAGTCTCCTGGACGAGCCACTTGATTGTGGATGCAAACACGTACTGTAAGGAAAAGTCATTCCAAACAGATTATCGTAACTCCTGGTCACATGCAGTATGGCTTCAGCAAACTGAAGACTTTCAGCCTTGTTGAGGTCAACCAAGCCCCGGATATGACGTTTCGGTAAGAGGAGAACCTCAAATGGCCAGACTGCCCACCAAGGACAGATGGCCATGAACCCATCATTTTGCCAGACAACACGTTCTTTTCTGTCCAACTCAAGTCGAGCATAGTCCTCCAGCAGATGCCTTCCACAATGATCTTTGCGATACTTGCTCATTTGTGCAAGTTCCAGCCTCACTTCATCTGGCATGCTTGAGGTTATCCAGATCTGGCCATGGGGGTGAGTATTAGAGCAGCCTACTATTTCGCCGTTGTTATCAAATATCTGCATATACCTGAGGTTCGTGGTATTCGAGGTGGTTTCGTCTCCAAAGCTTGGGCTGTGACTGGAAATTCTCGTAGTACTCCTTCTCAGGGGATTATCAGGAGAGAGATACCTGGCGTAGACAGTAGTCCAGGCCTCAATGATGGCAAGCACTTCTTCAGGTGTCATATCAGATATAGTGTAGTGGTGATTGGGTGAATATGTAAGAACATAGCATCGACCGATCACCACCTCGGCACGTAGCAGGCCCGAGGTACAGTCTTGCAAGGAGTCTGCCATAATTAACCCAGGCAAAGTCAACTGCACCACGCTTGACGCACCCTTCTTGCACGTATCTGTGTCGTATTCCCCCTCGTCCATCCGGACAGTGCTGTAATCATTCTCGAAGAGGAAAGTACCCGTATATTGGGGGTTGCGGACACCATTAGCCCGATGATTGCCCGGGCAGAGATAGCACTGCAACGTCATCAGTTGGTACCAAAGTTGGTAGCACTGGTAATTCTCACCTTGGGATCGTATGCTGGCTTGTCACCGGACTCCACGGCTTCTTTATGACCTCTGAGGCGTTGTTGTTGTGCTCAGCTAAGGTAGTCCTCAACGGAAGGGTTAGGAAACCTGGGATGGTGCTTACTGCCGAGGTCGCTTGTTCTTATGCGGCGAAGCAAGTAGTACCCAGGAACCCTTAAGTGGGTCAAACCTTCTATGAGCGACGTCGTTGAGTCTGACTGGAACCATGTTTAAGAGATGCTGGAGGCGATAAAACTTGAGAAATGTGAGGAATGGCAAAAAGATGTAAATATATATTAGAGCTTGCATTTAAACGTTGCGTGTATTTACGTATTGCACCCTTCGTGATTTGCCAAGGATGACCTCTAAATGAGGAAGTATTGGCACGGTTCGGCTTATAGGTTTTATGGACTGTTAGCATGCGACACAGAGTAATCATGCAGAAACTAAGGCACCGCTGCTGAAAAGATATCCATTGTGACAAAAGTTTGGTCACGGGGCGTCTGCATTTCTAAGTTTGGAAAGATGCAGTGGCTTGTGCGTCAAAAGTGCTTTAAAGGATTGTCCTCAACTAGGAAGATGTGAGTTGGGGAGGCTCAGCGTTCACCTTACTGGTTTAAAAAGTGCTTGCTATATTGCCTATATTGACCAGTTCCTGTAAATTAGAGAACTAGGAGCTTTACCATGTCAGCTAGGTGGTTAATCAATTCACTGTAGATGTATGCCCATGTTTGGTTTCCAGTGGTTTCAAGAAGATACGGTTGCCTCCACAAGCAGAATGGTAGCCACATAATTCCTTAGGAACACCACCAACATGGAGCGGATAGCAACTTGGTCCGACTCACATAGATTCGAGTAAATCTCTTCCGACGTCAAGAAAAGGAATAAGCTGGTCACGACGAAAGCCTCCACGCCTTCACACCTCACAATGGCTTCTCCCAGATCCACCATAAGGCGGCTTAGAGACATGAATATTTTCTTTTGGCCGACCACACGTTCCGAGGGTTTGCCTTTCACTCCAGTATCAACATTTTGAGCTAAGTGTTTTCCCAGTGCGGCCATTGCATCGCACATTATCCTCAGAGTCCTCGGCTCAACCAAGTCGTGCGCTGAAAATGAGCCTGAGCGCAGCTCAGGTGTCCAAGCGTGCAAGCGAGCCCTAATAGCATCCTTCTTCATCTCGCCGATGATCTTGCGACCTGGTTTTCGGATTTCCTCGCGGCCGTCTTCGTAAAGAATCATCTGCAGGTTGCAATGCTTGTCGTAGTCCATAATGGCTGCTAGTCTTTCGGTGAGGGCGTCCAGGTCGCTGAAGTCTGCGCCAGACAGGCGAAGATTGTTATTGAATTTGTGCGTTATGGGACTTGGCGCACCTACAACGGCATTGCGCCATTGTGTCAGACTCTCGCCCTTCAGAGCAAGGGGTGCGATATCAATGAGTTTACTCGGATGGGATGGATGGAATAGCTCCTGGATCTTTTCCTCAATGTGTGGGGATTCGCTCAACAGTAAAGACAATAGCTCTTCGTTTGAATGTTCGTCCTGATACCCGACCAGGAATTCAATCAGAGTTTTCTTCCGACCGGAAATTGGCGGCAGTTCCGAAATTTGGCCTGGATGTTTGCTCGACAGATGAAAAGCTACAATGATGCAGCTTCTTGGATCACCCTCCGTGGTACGATAGCGATGGTGCACCAGGGCTCCTGCTGGAAAGAGAACTGCCAATGGCTGCTCGGGATGCTTCGCCTCGACGACACGAGAGATGCCTTTGATTTCCGTTTGAAAGTTCAAGAGTCCATCAATGGCATCATGACTTACGAAAAGACTATCTCTCTCTGTAGACCAGGGCAGTCCCTCCTCATCTACAAGAACGTCTCGGTTGCCCTTGTGAGTCCACGGCAAAAATGTGAAGTTTTGACCTGAGGGACCTTTCACTTGCCCTCGGCGCCAGTTCAGCAAAACTTTGTACTCCTCCTTGAAAGGTGTGTTGTCGACATGAAGCATATTGTCCTGGGCATTGATCGACATGGGATCGTTATCTTTCCCTCTGAAATCCACGATGCGGATAGACCCCCCAAGAAGGTAGGAGACAAGGGCAATGAGCAGCGGATGGCTAAATGCCTCAATATAGTTGCCCCCCAGGAAGAAATCATGCTCAGTTGCGAGGTTGACATATGAGTGCATGAAAGCATTGTTGCCCGATCGTGACTGGACCTTGTCGTACTTTGCTACAAGTTTCTCGAAGATGGTCGGGTCGATCAGGCCGCCAAATAGGGCGCAACCGTCTGATTCAATCATATCAACTAAGTTCAAAAACTTGGCCTCGGTGTCGTCTTTCTCCCACTTGAGGCGGAGGCTGCGGAGCAACTTGACGCGAAAATCTATCTGATCGGCAGTAGAAATTCGTTGGCGGTGCTGGACGGTATTGAGTCGAAGCCCTGGCACCGCGCCCTGCCGCACTGTCCTGTCGCGAAGCAGCGAGGCTTGTGAATCAACGGGAACGTTGAGGGCGGGCTTCATGACTTCTACCTCGGAGACACTGCCCATATCGAAATTCCTAAAGATCCACGTAGATTGTGCTGATACGATTGGCAGGGACGTTGAATAAGTGAGAATGCTTTAGATGAATTCTAGGAGGTTTATCGATCCTCAATAGGAGTCTTATTGCTTAATTATGACTTTTTTTATCTGCACATAGATACAATAATCCTGCAGTCCATCTGAGCAAGGTGTAACCTCCATAGTTGCAGCTTACTGTAATCTCTTATGATCACTATTATGCAAGTAGTTACTGCGTGTCATCATTAGCAAGCATGGTCTCAGCTTGCAGTGTCTGCTAATGCATGCTTATTATTCATCAAACTGAGAATTTATATACTACACACACTCATAGCCGATTTTAACAAACTGTAATGATATGGTGGTAGTCTGATAATCTCAATACATGTGGTTATAGGTTTAATATCACTGCTGGTCTTTTGCAAATATATAATTCACCATAGTAAGTTGGACTACCACATCTGATGGCATGCCGTTCAATCATCAAGATATCGTTATAACAAAAACAATGGATGTCTACCCACCTCTTGAGGCCCGTCCGATGAAGAATACAATTTGTCTCTTCGATCTCGATGGTACTTTGTGTTTAGAAAAACAAGTACGTACGAAACCTCGCCAGGTTACCCATACCTGGCGCTCAGAACGATCTGTTCTTTATCAAAGTAACTCAAACTTTACTTGTAGAAATTGGGTAGTTAATTTCAATCTAGGCTGTCTCATCGGAAATGCACTCTCTCCTCTGCCTCCTTCGCCACAAATGTGCTATCGGCTATGTTAGTGGCGGGCCTCTGGCCAAACAGCAACAGCAGCTCGGGGCTCCCACGGTCCCGGTGACCAGCCTCTTTGATTTTTGCTTCGCAGAAAATGGCGTCACAAGCTTTAGAATGGGTATCCCTCTGCCCGGGTCCTCGTTCATTCAAAAGGTTGGCGAGGCAAAGTACGAGGCGTTCGTCAGCTGGGCGCTGGAGTATATCAACAACTTGAATATTCCTATTAAGCGAGGCCCCCTGTTTGAGTTACGGAACGGTAATGTAAATTTTTCGCCGATTGGACAAGGCGTAAGTTACGCTGAAATGGAGGAAATCCAGCGCTATGATAAGGCACATGGAATCCGAAAAACAATGATTGAGGCATTGGAGACGCGATTCTCGGACCTGGAATTGAAGTATGCAATCGGTGGGCAAACTTGTTTCGATGCTTTTCCCGTCGGGTGGGACAAGACCTATTGTTTGAGGCATGTAGAGGCCGAAAAAGAGAGGAGTGGGATCGTTTATAATGAAATTCATTTCTTCGGGGACAAGGTTTATGAAGGGGGAAACGATTTTGATCTTTATAAGGACGCGAGGACGATTGGACATTTGGTAATGGGCCCGGAGGATACAATGAGGCAGATCAGGGAATTGTTTGACCTATAGGTAGAGAGGAGAAAATACACTGGGCCACTCTCCCCTTACTTGATTCAGTGCAAGCTAACTTATAACATATACAGAATATACAGAACATGCCAAAGTTGAGCTATGCCATGACATTCTAACTTCCTATTTCGCTATCATGTAGCTCTCCAGTTTCCTGCTTTGGTGAACAGATTCTTTCACAAAAAACATTGTTAATTGAGTACGGTGGAAGGCCAGGCGTAATGAAACTCAGGCTGAGGGCCTCTGCTTAATTGTGATTGAAACTGCAGATCCAGGACGGCAGTCAACCCCTGTCATTCTATCGTTGTGTTGTACTGAGTGTTGTAGCTTAATAGTCAACATTCCTGTAAAGGCATGGGTTAAAGGAGGAACGATTGATAGACACTAGCGCCTGTCGCAGGTCAGGGGAAGATGATTATGCATGCTTACTGTACCAATGACAGGACAGACGCGTAAATCACTTACTGCTACTATTTGCTTATTTATTGCGTGAGAATGCACTAGTGCGCCCACTCAGAATTTGTTTTGTACATGAAAGCCCCCAACATGTGTATTGGATCTGGGATTTGCCAAAGTTTTGCACAATAGAAGAGTTGGACACGTTCTTACGCACCTCAAGCCCGAGTAGCCAAGCAGTATGAGTGCTCAGAACGAAGTCGATGGACGACGAACCTTAGAGACCGATGTACTGATCGTCGGGTCCGGTCCTATTGGTGCGGTATACGCCAGAACCATCACTGACGCCGATAAAAGCATCAATGTGCTCATGGTTGATATGGGGGTGCAGTAAGCGAACGCTGTTGTCATCCGAACTTGTTCCGCAGCTCTGATACCTTGCACTAGGAAGACAAGGTTGATTGGTGATCACAAGAAGAACAGTATCGCGGTACAGAGAGGTAGTGCTCATTTTACTAGGTAAGCATCGGAAGGGATGGCGTCAGCGTACACGCAAGTTGATAGGTTCCTGCCTCTATAGCACTGTCCAGGTATGTCGTGCAGCTATGAAACTTTGGATGAAACTTTGGACCAGTCTTACGTCTTCCTAGGGAGCATTGGGCCTATTGTCAGAATCGGCCAATGCAGCACCTGCTTCTTTGGACACTGTTCCCCGGTATGTTTCGTTTTAACGATTGAGGTGCCATCTCTGACTATCCACAGTTTTCCAGATGTCGTATCGTCTACCGGAGGCGCCAATGGACTACCTCACAACGATCTGCCCGCTGCTCCAGTAGTCAGGGAGGTCGGAGGTATGGGCTCCTACTGGAGCTGTGCTACACCCGAACAGCACCCCATGATTGAGAGATCGGACCTCTTCTCTAATGAGGAGTGGTCAGTCCTATATGGCCAAGCTAGGACTCTTTTTCATACTACTGACAGAGAATTTGACCATTCACTCCGCCACCAACTCGTCAAGGACACGCTCATCCGAGCACACAAGGGTCGAGAGGTTGCGAACCTGCCCTTGGCATGCCAGCGAAGTACCAGTAACTCAGAGTATGTGCGATGGACTGGCCCAGCCACAATTCTCGGAAAGCTTGCCGATCCAACGTATAACGATGGCAACTTTGAATTGAAGGCTCAGCATCGATGTACCAGGCTGCTTTTAGATGCTGCATCTAAGCGGATAGTCGGGGCTGAGCTTACTGATATGTTGACGAACGAAATATTATTAGCGAGAGCAAAGAGGTATATCATCTGTGCTGGAGCCATCCTCACCACTGGAATCCTTTTCAATTCACATATCAAATCTGAAACAGGGTACCCAGCTTTGGTACTACCTCATTGAACACATTTTAAGATGGTATATCTGACTATTGATAGGGGCGATATTTAACCGAGCAAACCATGGCTGTCTGTCAGGTTGCGATGAGAAAGAGCCTGATACAGAGCATGTGGCACGATCCACGTTGCAGAGAACACTTCAGAAAGTTTCCCGAGGATCCTTTACGCATCCCTTTGAACGATCCTCCTCCTGAGGTACGGCATTTCAGTTGTCCAGTTCAATCCCTCTGCGACATGGGAGTGCTGATGACTTGTATTACAGATCACCATCCCGGTTTCTGAGAATTATCCGTGGCACACACAGATCCAGCGTGATCCATTCCATTACAACACTGTTCCAATTTCAATTGATTCACGACTGATACTTGATCTGCGATTCTTTGGATATGTCAAGCCTGTCTATGAGAATTATGTCGAGTTCTCATCTGAGGTCACCGACCTTTTCGGCATGCCCCAAGTAAGGCCACCACTTCAAGTTCCCTTGCTGGATGCATAGCTTCTGATCACGTCCTTAAAGCCAATAATACACTACCGTATCGGGAATGAGGATTCTGAACGCGCCCAAACCATGATGCAAGAGTGAGTTTTTCTTCTTTGAACTTGGTAGCAACATTTATAGGAATATCGAATACTGAATCTTTGCCTGGCAGCATGATAAACATTGCCGCTGGCCTTGGTGACTTTATCCCTGGTGGCGAGCCCAAATTTCTTGCTCCAGGCGCAGCAACGCATATCTGTGGGACGACCCGGGCAGGGAAGGAAGATGATGGTCACTCGGTAGTGGATAGAGACTCTAAGGTTTGGCGGCTGGAAAACTTGTTCATTGGAGGTTGCGGTGTGATTCCGACGCAAAATGCCTGTAATCCAACACTGACCGCGGCTTGCTTTGCCATTGCGAGTGCGAGAAAGGTTGTTGAGGAGATACAAGCGCTTAAAGGCCAACAGTATCAATCAAAGCTTTAGACCGAGGACCGCAAGCAAGCGATTTGGGAGACGTGAGCCTATCAAAAGACGTCCACACAGCTTGAAGCATCATTAGACATTAGCCCACCATTGCCGAGTCTCAAATTTCGACTTGGAGTCAAAGTATATATATAGCATTCATTCATTGACAAAGGGACAAATCCCAAGTTTGCTGTTGATGACTGAGCAACTGAGCCATCTCTGTCTCATTTGACACTACCAGAAGAATACACCAACTACTGGAGCTAGGATCTCAGTTACCAATCTATATTTGAAAGTAACAAATCTTACCTCAGCTGCTTTTCGCGCTATAGTTATTTACTGTGTGAAATACTGAGATCAGCTTCTTTCACCACCAGAACTCATTTCCAGCAGAAATCTTCCTCCTTTCTGCTCTTGGGCCTTTAGAGGAAGCAGACTGTGCAGTATTTGATGAGCAGTACGGTACTTGACCTGTTGACTCGGCGTTAGAGATTTCCAACAAGCATTAGAGTTTCTACATATTGGATCCAATAGTGTCCTCATCGGGAAGTTTATTTACATCAGTGTTAGCCAATATCTTGTGATGAGCCGATGGCTCAACCAGCAGGCCAAGAGGAAGACACACGTCCACTCAGACGAACAGCTGTGTAGTAGAATGTTTGTTAATTCGGGATCTTCAGATATATAAAGACGGAGGTTTGAATAGCTGTTGATTTCATGAAGGAACCTAGCGCCGGGAAATAATGATTACTGTAAGCCTCACTGTTGGCTGTGGGCCTTGTAAGCATGCATGCCTCATCATCCACTCACAATGACAGTGAAACCCCTTGTTTCCCATGTGCACCCTAGTAACCGGCTTACAAATCCAGACAGGACACTGTCACAATTTCTAAGGCGCTCGGCCAGAAAGACAAGGGTGTCAACTGTTTCTACCAAGTAGTGCTCTGTATTCCAACCGGGACTAGTGAGGCCCATTCTGGATCAGCTCCGCCAGTATCTTGGCTTTTCTCTGACCGCTTGTTCCGTACCTTTGAAGGAGCGTTTTACTCATCCTTAGGAATAACGTCGCAAATTGATGAGAGTAGCTTCAACTCGCTGCTGCTCATCTCAACCGCAACCTTCCACGCCCGCCACAATGGCTCCAGAGCCGACGCATGTACTACACACTGTATCTACAGTCTGTGCCACGACATTTTTGCTGATTCTCCCTGTCCGACTTTGGAAGCTTCGTAATTCTAGCATTAGGCGCACTCCCACCTGGCAAGGACCCTTCAAGGCCGTCAGTATTCCTCCTCTCCAAACTTCCAGCTTCTATATCTCACAAGAATAACGGCCTTAGGGTCTTGGGGTATTGCTTTCGGTCATATTGTCCTCATATTGCACAAATGTTTTGAGCTCGGATGTTCAGCATAAATCCATTTTTTTGGTCTCACTTTTTGCTTCTATACCTGCTGCCCTGGGCCTGAGTGTGCTTCTGCTCCAGGAGCAACAGCGGTCTCACAGGCCTTCAGATCTCGCCACACTATACCTTCTCGCGTCTATACTGTGCGATGCCGTCCACTTGGCTACGCCTTCAAAGATCGCTAGAGACGCGAATACCTCGCGTCCGGTACTTCTTCGTTCCTGCATACACTCGGCACTCCTGGTACTTGAATGTTGTGCCAATGGGCGCCCAGCATTCAGTGACCTCAGCAAACAGCAGTCTCCAGAGGAACTCTACGGTGTCTTGAGTAGAGTCTTTTTCACATGGATCAATCCAATTCTTCTTCGAGGGTACAGGGGTATCCTCGTCAACCATGATTCACCACTCCTTGGACAAGACATGATGCCAGAGTTCACACGAAAGGCAATACTGCATGCATGGTCTCAGCGAGGTTAGTCAGGAACCTCAAAAAACTCGTTTTCCTACTTCTCACAAGACTAGCCAAGCCTGAAACCAAGAAGAGTTTGCCTATCGCTTTGATGAAATGCCTGTGGAAACCGTTTCTCGCCGCTGTTATGCCTCGATTATTCTTGATCGTCTTCCGCTATTCTCAGCCTATCTTGATCAAAGAGTGTATCAGATACGTTGTGGCATACCCTGCCGGGGCGGAAAGCAGCCATGGGTTCTGGCTCGTTGTATCAGCCGTGTTAATCTACGTTTGCCTTGCCGTAAGGTCTGATCGTCGCTCCTTCTAGCTTTGCGCTAACATTCCATTCAAGCTGTCAACCGCTGTGTACCAAAACTGTATAAACAAGCTGAAACTTATGACTAGGAGTGCCCTCGTGGGGCTTATCCATGACAAGACCATGAAGTCCCCCAGCATTGCTTATGATGACGGTGAAGCCACCACACTCATGAGTACTGATGCAGATAGTCTCGATGGGATCGCCGAAATGGTTCACGAAACATGGGCCCAAGTCATCGAAGTGCTAATTGGTATTGGACTTCTCGCTAGTGAGGTTGGTTGGATCTGGCCTCTTCCTCTCTTTTTGATTTATTGTAAGTATTTTTGCATGACTTTCTGTGTTGATACTGAGACGTGTAGTATGTTCATACATGAGTCGTTTTGTTGCAAAGCATTTACAGCCCCGCCAAAAGGCTTGGAGCAACGCAACGCAAAGCCGCATAGCTGCTACCAGCTCTGTGCTAAGCGCAATGAAAGATGTCAAAATGCTTGGACTCCAACATAAATTGGCCCATCGCATTCAACAGCTTCGGGAAGGTGAGCTCTTGGCAGCGTCGAAACTCAGATGGATAATGGTATACTATAACGCCTCAGGTATGTCGGGAGCACTGGATGAAATTGACAGATATGTATAAACTTACGTCAGTATAGCCAACGCTCTCGGGATATTCTCTCCAGCTATCACCTTGATTATATTTGCAGTGATGTCAGTTGCTCGTGGCGGCAATCTGGATACAGAAACTGCCTTCACTACCATGGCCATCTTGAGCATGGTTACACATCCTGCAAACATGATCATGACTATTATGCCACGCGCTGTGGCAGCATTTTCTGGATTTGAACGAATCCAAGCATTTTTGCTCCGGCGATCTTTACAGGCTCATCGTGGAACATTGCCGAAAGGTACTATGAAAAGTTTGTCTTGGGACCCGGCATCTGGCAATTTTAGCACTGCTATTCAAATCCGGCAACTGAGGATTGGCCATAAAAAGCTTGTCTTGGAGCATATCGACGTTGAAGTAGCCGCTGGATCACTTACTATAATATCTGGTCCTACTGGTAGCGGCAAATCCACATTGTTGCGCGCTATACTTGGAGAAGTAGTCCCTGTCCAAGGGTCAATTAGCCTGTCAACACGACAGATAGCCTACTGTGCCCAGAAAACGTGGCTACCTAATGGTACTATCAAAGAGATTATTTACGGTGCTTCTGACCTTTACAGTGCTCGTGACCAAGATAATGAAAGATGGTATCATGAGGTAACAAGACTGTGTTGCCTTACTCATGACTTGAATTCCCTTCCCAATGGAGATCGGACACAAATTGGCAGTGGGGGGCTCAATTTGTCTGGAGGACAAAGGCAGCGGGTAGTGAGTTTCTCGGGACTGCTAGGTATGGACTAGGCTCATAACTGATTGCAGGCACTCGCGCGTGCTTTGTTTGCAAGGCGTGATATACTTCTGCTGGACGACACCTTCAGTGGGCTGGATGGCGAAACGGAGCAAGCCATCTTTGATAATCTATTCGGGGTCACAGGCATAATCCGACGGTTGAGGACCACTGTAGTCCTGGTTTCTAATTCGTGTAAGTTCGCCCTTGCTCGGCCTCGATTTTACAGCCTAACTCCGGGATAGCTCAGTATTTCCAAGCTGCGGATCATATCGTGGTTCTTGGAGACCATCGAATCATAGATCAAGGGAATTGGCAGAACATCAAGATCAAAGCTGCATCCATAGCAAAGTTCTCTTCCAGCCATCACACCAAAGTCAACAACGCCGTCCTCTCTGCGAAGTTTGATGAACTCAGTGCACAACTGCGAGCAAAAGACGAGACCGAAATAGACCTAGCACGACAGACTGGAGATCCCGCTCTATATGGTAACTCGCTATCTCATATTCATGGACACGACTAATATGACCGTAGGGTATTATCTGAGTTTCATTGATTTTGAGAACATTTTTCTCCTTATCACCAGCACTGTATTATATGCTTTCTTCATCACTATCCCCCAGTACTGGGTTCGGTTGTGGACAGAGTTAGGTGGCAGAAGCACCGCTTTCTACGTCAGCGGATTTCTCATTCTATCAACCCTGTCGTGGATCTCAACCAGCGCTCAGATGTGGTAAGTTTCCAAGACTGTCCAGCTGTTCGTTATCATTGAAAATCAAGTAGGTCCATTCTTATCCGACTTGCTCCGCAGTCTGGATCGCGGTTGCATCAACGTCTATTGCACATCGTGATGAAGTATATATGCTCCATATTGCAAACTCTAACACGATGATCTAAAAGATGGCTAATCATACATAGCGCGCCTCTGTCGTACTTTTCTAAAACTGATAACGGTTCAACCCTAAACCGGTAAGGGTCTATGCTCGATGGTTCTGTTAATTCTAATGATTTCTAGATTTAGTCAAGATATCCAGCTTATTGATAAGCAGTTGCCATCAGCTCTTCAAACTGTGTTAACTCGTATGTATTGATTTACCTCTTCCAGAAAGGTCTTTAGGTGACAACGCTGCCAGAAATCTTCAAGCTCCTCATGCAGATCATACTTCTTTGCATGGCCGAAAAATGGCTCACAATGTCGTTACCGGCCTGCATGCTCTTGGTTTATGTCGTGCAAAAGGTTTATCTTCGGACATCGAGACAACTCCGACTTTTGGAGCTTGAGTCCCGCGCAGGGGTCTTCTTAAATTTTTTGGAATGCGTAGGTATCCAAACGTATCTGGTTGTGCCCAACTAATCTTGCTTTGCCAGGTCGAGGGCCTCGAAACCATACGGTCGTTTGGTTGGTCCAGGGCTGCAATACAGGACAACATCCGAAGCGTCGATAACTCCCAACGTCCAGAGTTCCTCCTTCTGTGTCTCCAGAGGTGGCTCAACCTCGTCCTAGATCTCTTGGGGGCAGCTGTTGCAACGAGTGTTGTTGCTATAGCTGTAGCTTTCCGCGGGCATGTCAGCGGTGGACAAGTCGGAATCGCGCTCAACATTATGCTCGTAGCAAACACGACATTACTAAAACTTGTGGAGAATTGGACTACGCTAGAGACTTCTCTGGGTGCAATTGCTCGGTTGAAAACGCTTGAAAAAACGACCGCGGTTGAGGGTGGAAGAGGCTGGGACTCAAAAACCCCCGAAAATTGGCCTTCCAGAGGACATATTGTGTTCAAAAATATCACCGCATCTTACCAGTACGTATCCCGTCAGAATGCGCTCTTCCCGCACAGCTGACAAGTGCAAAATGTAGGTCGGGGGTGATTGCTCTACGGAATCTGAGCCTGAATGTTCCTGCGGGTCAGAAACTCGTCGTGTGCGGGCGCACAGGCAGGTGAGTCACTGCGTAGGATACGGCTTGTATATCCGAAGGCTCGGCTCACTCTACATACTAGCGGTAAAAGCACGTTACTCCTCTCGCTCCTACGGCTTCTGGAGCTACAATCCGGCCAGATCGAGCTCGATGGCGTTGATATCAGGCAGGTGAGGCTAGATATCCTACGACGACGGTGCTTCGTTGCAGTGTCTCAAGACCCTTTGTTGTTGCCGAACGAGACCTTGCGCTTCAACTTAGACCCGGATGCCTCAATATCAGACGACGCCCTCGTTGTTGCATTGAACAAAGTGGGATTGTGGTCCCATTTCTTCGAAGGCCACACGTACTTTGGGGGAGAGCCAGCTACCGTCATCAATATCCCAGGCTCTGGTGAACATCCAATCCTCGACCAGAAGGTCTCAATTTTGCAGGAACTCTCTGTAGGGCAGCGTCAACTATTTGCGCTCTGTCGAGCACTTGTGAAAGTCAGCTCCTTACGACATTCTGGATTGAAGCCTGTGGTCGTCTTGGACGAAGTTACATCCTCCCTAGACCCTGTTACGGAATCCACCATCCATCGTATCATCGACGAAGAGTTCACCGAGAGAGGCCATACTGTCATCATTGTTGCTCATAGACTTGGTGCCTTGGAGGAGCACACGAAAACTGGAAGGGATGCTCTGGCACTGATGGCAGATGGTCAATTACAAGAAGTCATCGAACACCTAGGACCTGTGGTTTTCCAGCGTTTCAGGCAGCTGGAATAGTGGTTACCTGGTGGTTTTTGAAAGGTTCTAGATGGCCTTTAATACGAAAAATATAAGACAACTCGAAACAGACCATTAAACTTATTCGTGGCTTACAATCTACAGAGACTGAGACGCTTCATCAAGACCAAGATTTGGGCGGAGAACCAGTTTGACCGACTGGCACCCCTTCTTTTTGCTTGACTTGCTTCGCGAGATACTGTTCAAGCAATCCTGGTTCTCGGTAGCAATTTTTTACGTAAACAATCTCACTCCAACTCGGCCTAGACAAGGTCATGTTCGATAATGCTTCTCCACATGCATTTCTCCTCAACTTAGTCACTGATTCGGGGAAGGTTTCCGTTGATCGCGAGCAATCTTGAGGTGAGATCAGGATCCGACCCAGGTATATAGAATAGTGCTGTAAGCATACATACAATACGAGGCCATATCGGATAAGCATGCATGCCTCCATCGATGATTACGGCATATTTGTCTCCATGTTACCTTTAGAGTGCGCCAATAGAGATGATTTAAAAGGCTTATATACCGTTGGTTGAATGAAAAGGTGTCTGGCACATGATCCCAATATTACCATAACTTTGTGCTCAACGAGGTGGTTCGGTGATTCCCAAGTGATCCCCAGTTGATTCCGGGGTCTATTGGGTCATGTGGCAAGTTAGCTAGCATAAGACATACAGCAACGCTATAAATTGACGTCCAATGAAGATGCTGCGTTTCCAAGATTGGGTTGGGTGCCTTGGTTGGTTGGACGTTTGGAGGATCTTCAGGCGTTCGGCGGTCGTGGGGTGTACCCTGTCTGCTTGCGGCCCCCACGTTATTAATAGGCGTGTTTACCTCGGTATAATTGTTCCATTCGCACCTGAGATGATATGGTTTTCGCAAATCCCCTATCTCCGTGTCCTTCGGAGATCACAGAATGAGCGGATGGATGCTCGCGCGATCAGGGTTGCTGATGATACCATCGAGGATGGGGATCGGTAAAGATACCGGGCGAATAATCGGGCGTAAATACTGGGGAAGATCCTATTTCGGAAGGCGGCTAGAGCCACCAGACTAGGTAGCCACTGTTGGTGTTTTGGACTGTCTCGGCTAACACACTGCTAAGCTATTGCCATGGCTGCAAAGACGCCATTGTTTCATGTTGTTCTTGCACAGTACAGATAATGTGCGACATACTGGTAATGAAAGACTGGGAGTGCTGTGAGTTCCCAGATAGCATTGAATTAATTATAGGTCCAAGAATGCAACAGCTACTTTAGTATCCACTTGACTGATGGCTACTCAATGGCTGGTGCTTTCCCACATCCCAACACAACCCAAGAAGCCCAGCTTAGCGATAAGACTGACCAAGCCTGAGGGGGCTGTCTCTTGGCGAGTTTAGTAGTTGGATTCGAATCCCAGACCATTATGCTGCAAGACAATACATTAGTTAGTATGATGTACTGGACCATATCATCCTAGACGGCCGCGCCCCAAAATTATTGAAATAGTTCCTATGGTGTACCAAATCTAAATACCTATACTCATCGCGGATACTCACTGCCAAAATCGTACATTTTATAATGTATGAGAGGTCTTTGGGAGTGAAAAGAGCTGTGTCCAAAAGGTATCATATTCTACACTGATATACCCACAGATCCAGGTTAGCTCCCATTGTGCAGCAGATTTAGCCTTGAAGTCCTTCTCCCTAGGTTCCTCTTACAATCAATTTCTGTGGCTAATGAATGGTAGGCACCAGCTGGCGCTCAATATCACGAACTTGGATGCAGACCTTAAGAAGAGGTAGCTCTGTTGAACGCAACCAAGTTGCTGGCCGCTTTCATATTATATCTAGTTGGCTTTGGTCCTCTGTAGCTCATGGCGCCTAAGTCTTCTGATCCCACAGAGGTGAAGGAGCGTCGTCGTGAGCAAAATCGCCTTGCACAGCGCAGGTTTCGACGTTCGTAAGATCCGCTACGTTCGAGAAGTCATATCTGGCGTCAAGAGGCTGACTCTTTTACTGTTGGTATTTAGAGAGATATAGCCAGCAGAAGGCTGTAGTGCCACAGTATCAACTCATTCACAGTCTGAGCTTTGATTCTCAGTCTCATGGAACACAGCCCGGAGATGCAGTATTGCCCGATACTCCAGGATTGTTAAGCATGAATCCCATGGGAGGCCCTCCTGACGGCCATCATCGGAGCGTGTATGAAGTAAATGCGGATCTATTTCTCGACGGTTTCGAGTTCAGTAGCATGAACAGTCTTCCCGCGTCGGACCTGGATATGATTCCTGCAATAAACGGTATGCAGCCCACACCAGCCGCATCTGAACCAGCGATGGAGATTCGCAACCCCTTTACATTCAATGAGTCCTCTATTCCGTCGGAAAACAGCAGCAGTAGCGAAACCACAACATGCAAGCCTGTTAGCAATAACTTTGGCGGGTCTTGGGCCAGTCCGCTCCACAGAGCCGTCCAAATGGGTCACAGCAAGATCGTCCGGCTTTTGCTTGAACACAATGCGGACTGCAACGAAAGGGACAGCGATGGTCTGACGCCATTAATACACGGCATAATCGGAGGATATGAAGACGTGGTAGATATGCTGCTGTCGCACGGTGCCCACATCGGTGGCTTCGACGACGAGCATCGATCGGCTCTCCACTGGGCCGTAATACGCCGCCGGGACCGCTTACTAACAAGGCTTTTGAAGCACTGTGCAGGGAATAGCACCTTGGTGAATCAATGTACCAAAGATGGAAGGACTCCGCTGCTCATTGCTATTGATACTGGCTTTGAAGCAGCTGTAGAGGTATTGCTGGAATCAGGTGCAGACGTGCAATACAGAGCTCCGGCTCATGAAATTCTCCAACAGAGTTGATACAATATAGCAGAATTGACACCTCCATTCAGCAGATTGTTGGGCGGCTTTCTATTAGGAGTATGACAATGGCGCTCTGTAGCGGCGACATGTCCACATACAAAATATCTACGATCCTCGACAACAGAGGCACCCCTCTCTGAGAAAGAACAATTCACTAGCAGCATGATTAAATATATTCACGGCCTTTGGAGGTGTTAGGACGCATCTAATAATCGCTTCGACTAATGGCTTATTGCAAGACTTATATACAAAGAGCATCTCACGCCACTTATACTATGAATAGCACTACCTCCTTATATATCAGAGATACATAAAATATTACTCGAAACATATAGATGCTTTTCTTGAAGATCCTAACCTCGCAAACATTTCTTTGACCGTCTTGACTATGTTTGATAAATGGAACATATATAAAAAAAGATTGAAATCAGTGGCGCTGCCCGGAATCGAACCGGGGCTGGCACGGCCACAACGTGACGTCCTACCACTAGACCACAGCACCGGATTATGAATTTACAAATCGTCTTGCGCTATAAAATCGACCTTTAATCCACAACCAAGTCAAGGATATTAAAATCAGGCCAGTACGTTCCCGGCAGTTTTGTCGCGGGGGAAGTTAGTGTTTCACTGAGGAGGTAATCACAGTAGTGGTTGCCTATGTTGGACGAAGTCCAGATTATCTCCGTTACACAGTGGCAATGTCGGCTGAAACGCATTACGTGACTATCCTCCACATATATATATATATATTCAGTTATATCGTTATATACTGAGAAATTAGACGACAGTGTTATTTTACTTTTTTGTAGACCACATCCGCAGATAGTTAAAGTGAAAGGACTTAACGATCTAATTAATAATATTACTTCAACTTTTATACGGACAACTGGCACCGATCATCCCTTCTCTCTTTGTTGAATTCCTTGCATTGGAATACCAGAACATGGCCGATACAGGAACACTAAGGTAGCGATAACATTCCGTACTGATTAGCTGAGAATACGGCGCCGTGCCGCTTCGAAGGATTGTGCCTTAGTCAAAGTCTGGATTATAGATTAGCACTCTTTAGTGATTCTCCTCAGCGAAGAACATAATACCTGATTCGATTTTCCTGTAGAAGGCGACGGAGCAGGTTGACTCGGAGACCGGGCGGTTAAAGTCGCAGTAGTCTTCGCTTTAGTAGAGAATATGGCTACGTCTCCTCCACTCGCTCCTGGTCTGCGACTCCAGTCTCACTAGTAACGGAAGTTGTTCCAGCGACGGCAGAGTTCACTTCGACAGGATTGGCCTCGAGACCGCAGTCGGTGCCAGCCCTAATCACCGTAGTATTGCCAAATCTCGTATATTAGGGCGCAATCCATGCAATGGTTCAGCTCAGATATGAATGTGTCGGAAGCGCAGCGGCCATTCCTGCGGCTGGCAACGATAGCACCACCTGGGGATACCGGTTAATGAGCGCACCGAAGAAGGTGACCAAGCGTAGAGTTACAAACCACAGCTAGCATGGCAGTCATATTTTTGGAGTCCTTAGATCCTGGCGTCCATGCGACGGGACAGATTCCCGGTTATGAAATGGCTTGGCAACAATCCCAATTGAGAGAGTCGTCCTAATAACGACAAGAGCTTGTTGACTTGAAGTTTCGCCAGTAAGTCTATCACTAGTATACCACTAATGGTAAGGTCTGAACACCAGACGGTTGGTAGAGGCTGCAATGTACCTCATATATACATAAAACCTCCGTGAGTACACCATCTCTCTTCAGCTTGGCACAGGTCATTATATACTGGAGGGGTGGTCCGATTTTCGGCAAGCCTACGAAATCGTCCCAATCTAGCACCACAAGTCATGTGTCACATCGCTGAGCAGTCTGGATTCTCGCCCATTTAGAGGAGGATTATAAAATAATCGTGGATACCTTTTGTTCGACTAGCTCTTGTAGTGGGCACAGAGCACAATAATCGATCGTCAATGATGGGGGTTTGGCCCACTGATTATCTTATCTCAATGATTAATCTTATCTGATCCGAACCCTGGTTTGCCTTCCTAATAAGGGACTACATTGATCACAAGCCCACTCTATTACGGCACTGGCCTTGCCACGCAAATGAGTACTGGTCTTGACGGCATATGGCTTTATAAGAGGTCTATCATCCCACTCCGGAACTACAATCAACCCCTGAGTGGTTTAAGCGTAGTATACGCTAATTTCAGAATTGTGCCGTCCGCTGAACCGAAGGCTTTGTTAGCTACACTCTTGCCTGTACTATAGGTTTAAGAATCGAACGTCAATTGGTGTCCAGAATTTATAGCATCCGTGATACATAATTCGGGATGTCCCGAGGACAGGGTGATATTATGTTTTCTTTGCTCCTCCGTGAGAAACAAATCTTAAGTTTTCTCTCTATGCAGCAATAGTGCTCGGGCATGGCGATGAGCAAGTCGAGGACATGGGCCCCGTCAACCTTCTGGGGCATACCAGATATGCATTGAGGCGCTGCGTACGGTAACACTACACTGCGCAACTCCTCTATCGAACCAGCTACTCAACTGCTTATCCTCTTAGCGAGCCTAATATGAAACTTTCGCGGCTGATATGTCGTGGCAAGTCTATGTCAGTTCCAAAGACGAGTCATGGAATGTATAGGTTGCGGTCTCTCATGAAAATAGTATGCTGCCTCTGAACTGTACAAGCTGTCCGTTTAACTACCAACAATGATGTCTTCAAGTCCTTTATATTTGCCATGCGCATCCCCGCTATTGAGGTCGGACATGAATGCTACCCAGTTCCTAACGTGCCCGCTGGTGTCCAAGCAGGGTCGAACGCAACCTTCCAGATCATGTATAGATCCGATGAACACGGAACCACCGAAGATGAGACATTCTACGCTTGTCCTGATTTTACATATGCGCCGACGAGTCGATTCACCGATCAGGTGCCGAGCTTCAATGTGGCGAAGTTCACTGCAGTCCCGACAGCCGCTTCGGCGGGTTCAATCGCTACAACGGGAGCTGCTACTAGCTCGATGGCCACCGAAAAAAGATGCGAAAAAGCCTATCTCTGGTCTATCTGGTGGTGCCATCGCCGGCATGGTGGTTGGTTCGGTTGCTGCAGTACCAACTGGGGCCATCTTGCTGTTTGGATACAGGAGACTGCTACAGAAGTACAGGTTGATGCGTTAGAACGCGTCGGCCCGTAACGCTAACTAGGATGGGAATAATACATTTCCTAGAGGTGATGATGCCCAGGATGCTACCGGTTTTGTGAACGTAAATAATTGTCATCGCTTGACAGGAGATTAATATCCGGGTCACCAGTCTTTGAGTGACTGGCTAAATTAATATCAATACAATTGTGAACCTTATACCCTAGCTCTTAAAATAACCTTTTGAGTGCCTAGAGCCCTCCAGTGTTGTACATAGTGTCGTCGCATCCTCACGGCGCCTTTTCCGGACCGAAGAACCAAATCAATGAGTCGTAATAGATTGATCAATATTCGCAAGGGCAGTCAGTGTGATCGATTCTGAGGTAAAACGTGCGTGTTAGCTATACTCATCCTAGGGTAGAAGCTCATAAACTCAAGACTCACCGGACACATAGTTGTAACGGAGCTCTTGTGCTTCGTAATGCGCATCAATATTGTCCATTCCCTGGCAGTCATGGGAGGATGTTGGCAAAATAGGTTCGTCGGCCGTGCCTGAACGAAGCATAGTTTGTTAGAGGCAAAGATAGATGTCTTTTAATAATGCAGGCTTTGGTGAGATATACGACTTCTTTTCTTTCTCAAGCACTGCAGTAGGGCTTTGCCTGCTATCAGAAAACCAGGAATACCAAATATGGCCGTCACAACACCCACAGCGACTGTGGCGGTTGTCGATTGATCTGTCATGATGGAGGCTAAGGAGATGGGGATGCGTCTGATATTTTTCATCGATAGGAGATGGATGTGAAAATTTTTTCCTGGAAGAGGGCGGTGCACTTTATATGTCCATGCGCTGTAGAGACACTCGAGGACACAGCATACTCTGATTCCATCACGGCATCACTTTCCCACAGTGAATACCAGTCGTTCCACACAAAAATGTTGCACAGGCTGCATACTTACTTGACCATTCTTCGCTTAATAGAGTTGGAAGTCGCAATCAGGGCTAGTTACACTCTAGTCTGGATAGAATATAGTAGCGCTCAACGGAGCATAATCCGGTCAGATATTTCTGATACATCGCATGGCAGTTGCACGGAACATGGAGTGCTTGCTCTTCCGGGAAGAAATTTGGCTTGTGCAATGACCTCTTGCGAGGCGGATTTCAAGCCAGGGCTCCTTGTCCACACAACCCAAATCAGGAACAGCCCAATGAGTTGCTCCATTTTAGGCTAGTGTTATGGCAACGGGATTTTCTTGAGAAATTAGACGGGCCTAGTTTCTTGCAAAGCATATCAGAAATTTCTTTCCGAATCAGTGACCAGCTCCAATTGCGAGACTTTGCTCGTTTTTACGGTGTTTATTGGTCAATTTCCTCTATTGTGTCTAACTTCAGGATCTCTGGGATGATAACCCTGCTGGATAGTACCGATGTCTACTAAATGTTTATAATTCCTGAGCTCGCATCTATTTCATGAACTGGTGAACGGGCGCATAGGATTGCGTAAAATCTGTTCGTGACTACTGCGACAGCCCTGACTCTTAACCACCATATCACTATCCCGAAACTCAGATACGCTCTCTGGAGTCTGAACCACTTCTCCAGGCTGCAGCCAGTTGGACAAATCATGATTTGCTAGCAACTCCAATTCGGCCGGTGAGGCTGATATGCATGCTTCCCAAAACGTTGGGGACGAACGTGGTAGATGACCTCAAAATATCCGCGAACTCTACCTAGATACTAACCGTAAATGGCGCCTACTACTCCCTTGGAATGATACGTGCGGGTGGCTAGATCAATGCAGATCACTATGAATGAATAAGCCTTGATAGGACTTGATGAGTTGAGGGGAATTGTTGCAAAATGGACAAACAAGCAAAGGGCAAAAAATATGCTTTACATCGGGTCAGGTATGTATCTTAGCATATGATTTAGAATGAAGAGGTTGTATGAAGTCCAAAAAGGAGGTTGTCGTAGCCGAAGGCCGTCTGCTCTACCACTTCAACCTGTCTACTCTGGGCATTTCTATAATCTACAATTCTAGTTTCAGTTTTACAGGTGTACTCCTCTCCATACCCTCTCGGGTGTTCTTTTCTAGTGATATGTCGATCATTATTGCTTTAAAGGAACATCGTCCCGTTCCGTATGCTGTAGTTTCCTTAACTCTATCTACGATTGAAAATCGCCGGATCTTTAATTCGGAGGGAAAAAAAAAAAAAAAAAAAANATATATATATATATATATATATATATTCTTTATAATCTTTTGAGCTTCAGGGTTCTGTCACTAGAACAAAAATAACGTAGTTGTGCTTGATAGGCTGCTACGTCGCACCCAGCAACTTCCTACACCTTCATGAAATCCGTCGGTGAGGCAGATAGCTTTGGTCAGAAATTATCCTGGATCCTTATCGTTGCTCTTGTGTTTTTGCTTAAGACCCAGGAATCTCGTTCGACAGCTGCAAAATTATCTTAATTTACGGCACAGTCCTCGCGTGAACAAAAGTACTGACCAAAGAGAAAAAAAAGGGGGAGCGCTCTGCTATGCTCCAGCCTCAGCCCCTGACAAGAATATCATGAATAATGCTAGGAAGATGAGGCTCTCAAGGCTTCACCGGAAACTAAAGGCCTTCACCGCTTGTTTAAAATGATCAGAGCCAACACTCCGGGTCTCTGCTGAGACATCCGAGCAAATCTCATAAGCTACCAGCCTTCGGCCTAGCCACCCATTGGTCGATAACACCTTCAGCATCCCTTTTGGGCGGTTGTAGAAAATTTGAAAAATCTACTGTTCGTGGCACGAGAACTACTGATCGTCGTAATTAATTTCCACAATGCCCTTAGCGATTAATAGCGCCTTTTCCCCATACTTTGCTATTGCTCAGTAGGCGAATCCAGACCCGTCGACGGAGTGGTAGCCCATTGGATAGACTAGGTCTAATCAGTAATTGACGATCCGTAAAGCCGAAATTGAAGGACACTTGCAGTTATATCTAATTCTTCCCGACCAATCACAATGCACATCGAATTTCTGACTCCAGTGGTGAAGGATTTTATTCATCTGTCTAAGAGCGGCATTTTCCTCGAGCTCAATGCAAAGGGCTATTTTCAGTCTTTTTAGCAATGGAACTCTGATAGTAACCACACCTCATGCCATCTTGAAGACCCCTAAGCGGGTTGTAATCCCTGTTCGTCAGCTTTCCCAGAAGTCCATCCATTAGCACGCGATAGTCTCTTGCTATGCAAAAATCGCTCCAGAGTCTTCATAAGATTGAGTTTATTACGTATAAAATAGCACGGTTTGCTTCAGTCTGCAAGGAAGTGCTTTGAACCTCACTGCTAACTATATGAAACAGAGATTAAATGTCTCTCTTGCACTACTATATCTAACCAGGTCAAACCCGTCCTTTTAAGAGCGCGCTAGGAAAAAAAAAAAAATTCAGCAATGGCATCTTTAACTAGGTAAATAGTGAAAGAATGTCTGTATGTAATAGTCCAAAGTTTATTACAGAACATGATTTCATTCTTCAAGGTCAACAAGGTCACTATTTGGCTGAACTTGCCCAAGGGTTCCTGACCATAGTCGTCATTATATACTCCGCACTCCATATTAAGAGTTGTGGAGGTAGGCTGGCCGCTGGCCCACTTTCGACTACCCGAAACCTTAGTAGAGTGGGATCACCTCTTAAGTTCTGTAATCCGCTGACCATTAAGTTGCATGACCTAGCTTCCTATACAGAAAGGCTGGTTGATTATGTGGGGGCGTATTGATAATTTACAGGAGACAGACATTATTCCCAGCTGGCATTGCATGTTTGATGTAGTCATGATATTTGCAAAGGACGTTATAGCACAAATGGTCAATATCTGGTTCAAACAGTGTAAGCAAGATCCATATGCAGTAATCTGAATCATCGATCCCTAATAAGCGAGGAATGCCGAGATTGACCTGAAGTGTTCTAGTCCCTAGTCTTCCAATATCGCACTGAGGCTGGATTTCTCTGTCCCTGATTAGTTGGTTGGGTTGTTTTGGTTTACTGCCTACGTTCTGCCTTCCTGCTTTCTTATCTATTCATCCGTTCCCGTCACTGCGGGACAGCCTAGGCAGGCCATAGAGCTGCTTACCCTGACCCATAGCAATACCAAGCATGCTGTCAATTATGTTGAGCATGGCCTGGTTAGCACAGTGACTACCCTGGTATGGCCGGTAATTAGATGGACTGGGCCCTCATTGGAGATACTGCAAATATTGAGCTCAACTTAATATATAACTAGTAACTTAAAAGATGTTTACCTTGCTCCTCAAAGCTAGTTCGCCCGCAAACCCCTCTCCAGGAGAAAACTGAAGATGATCCGTGCAGTAGGTAACAAAAAGAGTATACACGCAAGTTAAAGGAAAAAGGGCATACCTCGAGCTGATTCAACTTGGTAGTATCCTAACGCTCTTTTTCGTGAAGGTTGATAGGAGGAAGTCCGGTTATTCTGCCAATTGTGCGTATACATGGTCAGGGCCCGGGTCCATAAGATAAGTGTCATTATATAGATGAGATTTAAGATAAGTGACAGATTAATTAAACGATTAATTGCTGCTTATAGCAGGAACAAAGAGAGCTGTATGAATCCTTCCTACAAGATACAGGTCCGAAATAACCATTTGGGGAGAAGCGCTTGTAAAATTATTATATTAACGCAAAAATGGCTTGTGAAAATACAATTTCTCCCATAGTATTGGTAAATTGAATCCCATGATCTTGGAATCCAACGGGAGCGTTAAAAAGAGGAATAAACATTAAGAATACCAGTACCTAACTTAGCCAGACCCTATTCATAACAATCATCTCATGCCGAATTCCACACCTGGCGCATGGCATCCATAAAGTCGCCTGGGGCAATGGCTCCTCTCCACTGGTTGCCGATATCATGTCCGAGCTTCTGCTTCAGCCGCGCCTTGACCGCGGCAAAATGAGGCGGGTTCCAATGCAGATGAACAACCCAGTAGATCAGCCGCTTGATATCCGCTTTTGCACCCCCAACACACTTCAAGATCTTCTCCGCGTCATGACCAACCGGATCCTTCGCTTTAGACAGCATTGACAGCAACGCATCTTCCATATGGCCCGAGAACTCGGCCTTGAGCACCTTTTCCAGGCTAGTATGATACTTTGCCTCAAAGGCCTGCGCGATCGCAACAAGTTTCGCATCCGACGCAGCCATAAATACCGCAAAGACACCAGTCTCATCCGTCCCCTTGCGCGCCTGTGTCGCCTGGTGGATCTCACGGACATCGGCGTCAACAGAGTGCGCATCGAAATATGTCCCCGGCTCCGGCCTCGTGGCGTTCAGCAACATGACAAAAAACTGCTCCGTCTTGCCGGACAAATCGCTCTTGATGTCCTCGACCAGCGACTTCTGGTACTTGCCGACATACGCGTACTTGATTGCGCGCAGGTCAGCGTTCGACCGGCCAACCAGCACATCCGTGAGGATGTCTTCGTTCGTTCCGATCCCTGCCAACGCATCGCGCAAGGCAGCGACGTCCTGTTCAAGTGGGCCTCTGGCTAAGGAGACGAGAACATCTTCCAGGTCTCCGGAGAGTTCGGACTTGAGGTCTTTTTCGAGGTTGCGCCCGATGCGATCGGTGTAGGTGTGTCTGATGAGTGCCATTTGCAGGGGATCCGGCTTGGTCAGAATATTGATGAGGGCCTTTTCATCCGTGCCGAAGCCTTTCATCGCTTTGCGGAGGGCTTCCGCTTCGCGGGTTGCGTCGCCAGGCGCGCGTTGGTTGGGATCATAGCCTAGGGACGGTGGGGTGGGCATTGGTTGAGGAGCTTGATGAGCTTGATAGCCGGGTTGGCCTTGCGGCGGATATCCTCCTTGGGGAGGATATTGGCCTTGGCTTGGCGGAGGGTATTGGCCATGTGGAGGATATTGGCCCTGCGGAGGGTATTGGCCTGGTGGAGGATAGTGACCCTGCGGGGGGTATTGATTCTGTGGATATGCCCCCTGAGGTGGATACTGCTGCGGTGGTGGATGGCCTCCTTGAGGATATTGTTGCGGTGGTTGACCCGGCCATTGTTGCTGCGGCGGAGGGGCACCATATGGCTGTTGTTGGTACTGAGCAGGAGGAGGATATTGCTGAGGATATTGCTGCGGGGGACCCCCTTGGGGCGGATAGCCACCGGGCTGTTGTGGCGGATAAAAGGGGGCCTGTTGCTGCTGTTGATGCGAGCCAGGCTGAGCATACCCAGCACTGTTGTAGGGCGGTTGCGGGGGTCCGCCGTAGCTATTTTGGGGGTGTGACATGACAGAATTGTGATAGGGAAAAAGGGTAATGACAATAGAAACTTAACAAAGGGAGCGCGTCAGCCTTATATCCCCTCAGTACGGGGTATTAAATACTTATCTAGGCTGTTCTCAGCTCGTATTTTGGCCCGTGCCAACACAGCCACAATCAAGTACCCCTCTATTTCTCCCGCTTATTGGCACCGTCCCAACCAAATTACGAAATGCAGAGCCACTGGACAGACTCAAAATATCAGGAACCAATAGTGATGAGGGCCCTGACTCGCTTTACCTAATAGGGAACTCGTCGAGCCACAGTGCACCGCCATTCTGCCAAGCTTAATTTCCTGATCAGCCCACCGGACCCCTCCGTCTGCCTTTCACACGTGCATGATAGAGCAGAAAGACCCCCTTGTAATTTGGATTTTCCTTTTTCCTTTTTTCTAGAAAAAAGGATTTTGTAATCCTGTATAACATAATAATATTCAACGTCTGAACCAGATTCTCAGTATGGGACCTTCCAATAGCTAGCAGGAGGGATAGCTGAGTACAATACATATGACTCTTATCGTAGAGCTCCCCTGCGTTAGCATGAAGATGCCTTTTAAAAGCACAGGAAGCGCATGGTACACAGTAAGTATCGCGGCCCATTTGGCCTCCTCAAGTGGTTTGAAGAGGCAGTGGGGGAAGCTCGGTGCTTGTTGCCTAAATAAGAAGGATGACGGAGGACCTGCTTAGGGGCTGATACCCACTTAGTTCTGCCTCTCAATTTCTACTTGTGTTCAAAGCTTGATTTTATCCATGGATACAAGCAATATGCATCGGGTAGTATATGCATGCATCTTCAAGCAGTCGGAATCTGAAAGTGTGAAGCGTCACTACAAGCTTCAGGGGGGTGTATACCTTGATTAGCTGCCATAAGAGCTGACTTGTATCTTTCTGTAATTACAATAATGAGGGGAAACGCAGTTTCCGGGAGTGTCAATCTTATGATTATGTCTCCAAGTAGTAAAATGGTGCCACTAAAGCTCTCACAATGTGGTTCTGGCCTAATAGGTACATAAAGAAGACTGCGGATCATGGGAATTTACCTACGGACATCAAATATTTTGAGACAATCAAGCCTCAAGACAAGTGTCGGTAGGAAAGTTGCAGCTATCGCCACTGCCACCGGTAATGCTGACATTCTCAAAGACAAAATTAGAGCAGCTGCCATCACCACAGAGAATGTAGTAGTCCTTGCCATCGCTCATAGTGCCAGTGACATCGACAAAAGTGATGTTCTCGATCTTGACGCCGTTGGTAGGCTTACCGGTAGGGCCGCCGTTCAGGTAATCCTGCTGAATATCGATACCGTAGTCGGTGATGCCGGAGACGGTGATGTTCTCGTAGCGAATGTTGTAGACCTCGCCGGTTGTTCCGGAATTAGATTTGATTCTGCATCCATTCTCGCTATTTATGACCTGCGAGTTGGAGAAGGTCACCCCATCAACGGTGTTATCGCTCTTGCCGCCGATAGAGCCAATGCTCAGTCCGTGGCCGCCGTAGCAGTACATGTTGTCCACGACGATGTCCGTGCCGCTCGTGACGGCGACGCAATCGTCCTGGTTGTGCACCCAGGTGTTCCGGAGGGTGAGGTTAGTGCTGGACTTGATGTCGAAGCCGTCGGAGTTGTGGGCGGCCGCTTTGCCGTCGCTGGCGCTGTTGGGGGCGTCGCCAGCGGAGTTGTTCAGCGTCAGGCCGGAGATGATCAGGTTCTCGGTGTTCTCGATGTCGAAGCAGTGGACGGGCCAGTTCTGGATGTTGAGGTTCTCGATGCGCGAGTCGTACATGTGCTTGACGACGATGAAGTGGTCGGGCTTGGAGGATCCGCCGTTGGAGCCCTGTCCGTCCCAGTAGGCGGCGCCGTTGCCGTCGATGACGTGGCCCTCTGCTCCGGTGATGGTCACATCGGTTCCGGAGATGACGATGGGGTCGAAGTCGTCGTCGGGGGTGTCGCCGAATGTTGTGGTACCGGCGAAGATCACGGCAGCGCCGGTCTGCAGGTTCTGGAGGTCGATTGTGCTGGACGGAGGAGCGTAGACGTCCGACAGGAGGATGTTCGAGCAGGATGCAACGGCCGAGGAGATGGCAGCGTACTCGGTGACAGTGCAGGTGGTGCCGCCGTTACCAGCAAAGGTGGAGCTCTTCGTAGGGGGTGGGGCTTGGGTGGTGGGAGCCACAGCCTTGGTGTTCAGGGTGGTGGGAGCAACCGTGGAAGTGACCTGAGCAATGGCCGTGTTGACCTGCGTCTGTCAGTAGCAGCTCTTTTAGTCATATTTGGATACTGACAGTACTGGTCTGAGTAGGAGCAGCGGCAGTAGCAGGGCCCAGACAGCTACAGGCGCTTGACAGGTGCTTGGTATTGTAGTCGCAGTTTCTGAGAAGTGCGGCAGGCGCGCCAGTAGTTTCAGTCACTGTGCTCGCGGTGAACGTGGCACAGAAGCTGACAGCAGCAGCAGACGAGACCGAGAATACGGAGGCACAGGAATGGTTGGAGTCGCTGGGGTCGACACAGGCAAGGGCCAGGGGAACGAAGGGAACGAGGAGCGCACCGCGCTTCATCTTGGAGAAATGAGGGGCTCTAAACAGACTACAAACACACAAAAATGAAAGGTAGGGGATGGAAATGAATGGATATAGGACCAAGCCTGTGCTGTTCTAGTTCTCGGGATCGAGGGAAATGGCCATTCATATGCCTTTATATTCATTGACCGAGTCAGGAGGAACGATGAATATTTGGGAATGGACCATCTGGCCATGCACACTCTGACTCAGTTACTCCATATAGATATCAAATAGGTGGGTCACGCATGTTATTAGTTTGCAGACCGGCTGTTTCAGATTGCTTTAGGAGCACAAAAGCCACCAAGTCGGAGATCCATTTAATTACAGTTCGTAATGCTTAATATCCATTAGACTGGGGCTTGTCTTTAGCTTGTTAGTCTTGACTCGGTGGCATTATCCTCATTGGCGCTGTCGGCAATTCCAACTCCATCAGCTAAAGAGTTGCACAACTAATTACGGAGCAAGCATGGTTATTGGGGCTTCGGAAATGTTTCATCAGTATTCAATAGGGGCTTGCTTGCTTCGAGTCCGAGGTTCTGCCATTATGCACATTCCGAGTTTATTCGCCTAGTTCGATAGTCCATTCTCCTGCAGGTTCTGGTCAAGCACACTGATGGATTCCATTACAGTCCAATGCGTGCACAAGAACAACATATCTGCTGTTGACGGAATTAAATATTTGATATATATGTGTAGCGTAATGTGTATCGTCATCCGTGCTTCTATACTTGAATCACTTTAATGTAGGCATTGATGGAGATCAGGCCCTCACTGGAATATCGTGCTCATATATCATATACACTCGTAAAAAAGGAATATTGTACAACCTAATAAAACAGGGGTAACAGGGTATCATTCAGCATGACCATTCTCATTCTCAGTTCCATTCCCTCTCACCCCAAGTGTCTCCTGCAGCTCTTTCCATCGCCGCACCACCATGGCGCGTTCATCAGCCGAAGACGCGCACATCTCATCAATCCCCTGCTGTATTCGCGAGGCCAGAATCTCCTTGATTTTGCTTTTCGACAGAGAGTTGCGCAGGCTCTTGTGGAGGCCGTCGAGAGGATACCCTGCTAGACCCCAGAATCCTAATATCGTTAGTACGAAGCAATCGAGAGAGAAAGGATAGTCAAACCTGCTGCGGGCTTGAGGATGGCTCCCCCGAGACCTTTGCCGATGCCTTTCACAAGCCCGACTGGGCCGGATCTCTCCAGACCTTGTGCGGGCTGTACGACGAGTCCGGTGATGCCTTGGTAGAATTCCTGGGTGAATTCCTATTTTCACTATTAGTTTTTAACCAATCTAGTGACCGAAGAGAATAAGGAGGCAGTATCAACCTTTCCAGCGGCTCGAAACCCACTCCGCACGCCCATTACCGTCGGAGTTTTGGCCACCGTCGTGTCGTGGTACAGCTTTGGCGCATTGTGGAACCCCTTGGATAGACTCAGCGTCACATCGGTAGGGACCATAATCGCCCAGTTCAGTAGTCTCTTGCCCAACCGTTTACCGTGATAGCCCGTCTCGCCCAGCACCACATGTATGCCTCCCCGCCTCTCCCTTGACGCCCGTCGGCTGATCGTCTTTTCGAGATCCAATTCACCACCGTCCTCGTCGCTGTCCACATGCGTCTCTGTAGAGCCCGATTGGACCGTGGACTGGTCCGATATTCGACTTCTTGGGTCCGTCCCGCTATCCCCGGATATGCCGTTGGAAGCAGAGACAAAACTCGTACTCTCACGATCAAATTCCTCGCCCTCATCGTCATCCTCATCATGGTCCTCACCTTCGTCATCTTCCTCGTCGGCTTCGCCGGAAGGACTCGATAGTGAATCGGACTGCGATTGCCGCATACTCGCCACACCACCCAGCTGCGACTGCACCCGGTCTTCCGGGGGAATGCCGTCCACTAACTTCGTACTCCTCTCTATACGTGCCCGTACCTCACAGGGGGGAATCCCCTCGCTGTCGTGACTGTGATGCCACCCATGTTTCTTGTGGTGATGGTGGTGGCGAGAGACCGCCTCGACTAGGTCCACCGGCGCGGTTGCGAGAGCCGTCACAAAATCCATCATGATGCCGTAGAGCACCGCGGCCCCCGCGCTGAGGGGACCCGCCGGGTCTCGGTTGGTATCGTAATCTTTCGACCGGTACAGGACGACATCATGCGGCTTGAGGAAGCCCGCCTCGACGAGTACAGCCGCTGCAAATGTGCTCAGCTTGAAGTGCGAGTGGCGCACCCACCATACCGCCGGGCGGTGCGGACAGATCGAGCATCGCAGCGTCTCCAGGTCCAGGTGCCGGTGGAAACTGGCCGTGGCGCACTTGACGCCGTTCTCCTGCCGCATCTTTGCGCCAATCTCGCCCGCTTTCTCCTGCATCTCCGGCCTGAGCGCGTGGTTGATTGCGTCTGCGAGCTTCTCCGCGTTCAGCTGTTTATACGGTATGGGCGCCGGGCCTGCGCCAGCTCGGTACACTATCGAGCCCCAGAAGGGCTGGTCGCCGAAGAACGGGATGATGATTGTCGGTCGGCCGAGCGCGAGCCCCGCTGCTGTGGTTCCGGCTCCGCCGTGATGGACGACGCACGAGACGTGCGTGAACAGCCAGTCGTGCGGAACGCTGCCGACCATGAACACGTTCTTGGGGATTTCGGCTTCCCCGGAGCCGATGTTGCCCCAGCCTTTGTTGACGAGTGCGCGCTGGCCGGTTTTGACGATCGCCTCGAAGACGATCTTGGTCAGTTTGGTCGGGTTATCGACGACGATGGAGCCGAACCCGACATAGATGGGCGGGGGGCCATCTTGCAGGAACTTGACCAGGTCATCGGGTGGCGTGAAGCTGCTTGGAGCGGACAGCATGCTGAAGCCACAGATGTCGACATTATCCATCCAGTCGACCGGCTTGGGGAGCAGTGCCGGTGACCTGCTAGTGTCAGTATTCGAAACCCAAACAAATCGAGGATTACTAACCAGAGATAAGTGAAGGGAATGCGAAGTCTATGAACGATACCCGGCCCGCGAAAGGCGTCCAACGGGTCGAGCCCCAACTCTCGCTTGCGGAATTTATTCAGCAGATCTCCCAACCCCTCATAGAGCATCATCTCGACAATCGCATACGAGGCGAAATTCGCGACGGATCGCTTCGTACGTGTCGGACGCACATTGGCCAGCGGATGCGGAAAGGCCTGAGTTGCCGTCCAGGGCATCGTGAACATGAGAGTCAGTGGCACGCCCAATTTTTCGGCGCAGCTGAGATGCGCAAAACTCGGCGGGTTGGCAATGATCGCGTCCGCCACGAACGGCTGCTCCCGGTAGTCCACCGTCTCGCTCCACGGATCCTCGGGGATGTGGTGCAGCCCTGTTCCATCGCCCATCTCGAAACATGACCGCCAACACCCGGAGAATATCGCTGCCATTTCCCTCCGCCGGCGCCGGATCGCTCCGCTGCGCAGCGTTTTCATCCCCGGCAGTAGACCGGGGTTCTTCACCATGAACGCCATGAGCTCGGCGGGGTCGCCGCCAATATTAAAGAATTCGAGACCGTGGTCCTGGACGAAGTCGCGGAAGGCCAGGTGCGTGGCGAGTCGGACGCGATGGCCCCGTTCCTTTAGGGCCATACCGAGTGCGACAAAAGGCTGTACGTCGCCGCGCGATCCGACAACATGGATGACGATGTTGAGACGGAGCGGGAAGGGCTGGGGTTTCTCGATGGGAGGCTGGGGAAGGGATGCCCTTCGAACCTCTTCCGGCGTTCGTTTGACGGGCTTTTCTATGTGCCTGAGGAGGTTCGTGAGGCTAGATTTTCGGCCGCGGAACTTGATCTCGAGTCGTCCGTCGTCTGCAGCAACAATCACATCAGCTTCGCAATCTATCCGCTGAGACAGCACTCATACCCAACACCCGTACACCCGTGTACATCCCATGGTCCAGCAGGGGCGTGGCAGGACGGTCCGCCGAGAACGGGTCGCTGAGCATCTCCTGGGGCCAGTCGGCCGTCGTGATGCCACCTGTGGAGTGTAGCAGAGGCATCGTGTCCTGGATGGAATCAAGATCCTAGTTTAAGGACTAATAGATTGAGAATCTTCATGAAAAAGTAAGGCGCAACGCGTGTCGTCTTGCATATATTTGGTGAGTGTCGCGATGGGGTGGCCTTACCCGGTGATGTCATGGTGCGTTAAACTTTGCTGGTGGGTCGAGAGACATACCTCGGCATCGCGATCTTCTTCATACACAGTAAATTATTTCAACGTTGATCAACTCAATCAGCACGGTAGATGACCTAAAATAAGCTATGACGATCCTGTCCTTCCGCCATAACCGGTTCGGCCTCGGGATGGCGACCTATGGCCGATGATGTACATCGATCCCGTGGTGTCGATCATTTCCAATTTAAAACCTATATAAAACATTTAAATACCCCGGACCCTTGAGTTCCTTGTTCTAAATATCCACGAGTAAGAAGATCCTGACAGCTTCCATGGTCGGGGATATTCATGTTTGGCGAGCGGAACGGTGGCCTGCTGTGTCTTGAGGACTGACGGACATTCCCTTCAATTCGTATTTTTGTATATGTTCAGATCCCCCGGAGATGGCGGATTGCTGCGATTTGGGGAAGAGCTTGTAGCCTGTGCTCTGCGATAGAGGGATGGACTGTTATAGAATTTTTAAATTCAGCAGGCGATATTTTTCGTGTGATTGTAGGGCTAACAATATCCAGGTGGTTGTGACAAACCAATGAGAGAAGCCATGGCGGCGAGTTAGCGAGTAGATCGCGAAGCCTATTGACATAGTATCTGAGTCTCTGGTGTACCCAGATAGGAAACTACTACAGACAATCAAAATTCTACAGGTATGCTGAGACGGTCTGTTTAATTGCCCGGTGGGATCGATTTATTCCAGATATTGTATTATTCCAGAAGCGGGCACATGATTAATAGACAACGTACAAGATACAGGCAACATCGGAAGGAGCAGATGAGAAAAGTGGAGAAAACGGGCAAA